GGCAGTCAGACGTGGGGGGCGCCCTGCATTGTCGAGCTGGGGCCCGCGCCTCATCCGGGCAGTCTAAAAAAAGAAGGGGGGCGGCCCCCTAGAAGCGCCGGGGGCGGGGGGTCCAATTCGCGAGGAGACGCGCGGGCGCCGGCAGCGGCGAGTCCGCGCCATCGACGGCGCGCGAGAGAAAGATTGGAGCGCCGGCGCCGCGCGCGAGAGGCGGAGCCGGCCCCAACTTGGAACCGCTGCATCTGTTGAATTCGCGGGCCCAGGGACCCCCTCTTCGGGCTCGCGCTCTGACTTAGAGGAACAAGAACTATGCGCATACACCGATTCTGGCCAGGCCCATCCTGAGCCCAGGACCGGTGCATACGCCCTCCTACCTTGGCCAGGAAGGCATATGCACCGATCCTGGGTCAAGGATGGGCCTTCCCAGGATCGGTGCATGTGCATAGTTCTCTTCGCCCGATGACTGGGCAGACTGGCGCTCGATGTCGGGGCCGCCGTCTCGGGCGGTCTCAGCCGCGACTTCGGCGTCGGCCGCAACTGGCGCGTCGCGCGCAGCACTGCGGCGCGGCCCTCCTCCGCGCAGGTCGGCGCGGCGCTCGGCTCGCCGCCCGCGGGCGGCCGCCCTTGCGAGGGGGCGGCCCCGCCCGACGGGGCCGATGTTCTGACCCCTGGCGCGGGCGCCCGCCGCGGCCGAGCAACCGGCGGCAGCCGCGCGCGCGAAGCGAAACATTTTGGCGGGGGCGATTGCCCTCCGAGTGTGTGAGACGCTGTAGTCGTCTACATCGTTTATCTCATCGTCGACGTCGACAACGTCGACGTCGTCGACTTCTTTATTTTTCCTTCTCCTCGCAAAATGATCGTCGTCGAGATGAGCCGCGTCGCGTCTTCCGCGACGCGGCCGTCGCGGCGCCCGCCGAGAGGCCGGACAAACTCCTGGCATCACATATGCGTTGAGACTGTCTTCTTTGCCCGAGTCGCGCGCGCGCGCGCGGCAAGGGCCCCCGCGACTTCGAGGGCTGCGAGGGGGCCTGGACAGGGAGCCGCGAGATTGAAGTTCCCGCGGCGACCCGCGAAAATGGCAAACTATAAGGGGAAGGGCCGACGCGACTGAGACGCTGGACGTCGTCTCCTCATTTCGGGGGGGCCATGCGCGCGGCGCGTGGCGGGCGCGCGTGGATGTCCGCCCTGATGGGCAACTGCTGCCGCGAGCGCGTCGACGGCCTGTTGGCCGCCGACCTGAAAATCAGACGGAGCAATATGGGACAGGAGGTTGAGCATGGACGGACCGCCCCGGCATTCCTATAATCCTACCACAAAATGCTCCTAGAACCCCACCGTGTTCTAATAACAGAAGAGATGTTCTTATAACGTAAACCCGATGTGATAAAACAAGAAAGACAGCGAAATAACACTTTCTAAGAACATTTCGTGGAGACCACAAACGGTTCTTAGAACATTGTTTGGTAGGGCCATGGGCGAGCCAGGACGCTTCGCCACTGCTCGAGGAGGGTGGGCCTCGCGCACGAGCGGGGCCTGCGGCGGCCCGCCCGGTGGCAGCCAGTCATCCAAGGAAGCGCTTGTCACGCGAACTTGGCTAGACAGCAGTGATCATGGGTGCGCCTCTCGCGCGCCTGCAAAGTGAAACGCCGCGCCGTGGGCCCGCGGCAGTGACGTTGCCCTGGGAGAGATGGGTTGCGACATTCCCCGCGGGCTGCTCACGAGATGACCCCCACTTCTCTCCGCGGAGTCAATGTGGCACCGCTGTTAGGCGCTGGCCTCGCAAGGTAAAAGCAATTTGAACAGCGAGCGTTATTGCTGACCTACCTCGCGGCCAAAGCTCCAACACCGTCTGGCACTGGAGTGCCTAGTCACGTCAACTTTGATGGCCTCATCGATATTCTCGCGTTCCTCTCGCGCCGAGCCTCGGACTTGGCCCGGGAGATCCTGGCTGCCTCGGCGGCGAGCGTCGCTTCGCGCTCCCGCGCGTCCTCGCTGCCGGCGGCATCGGGCGCTGCGGGGGCAACTTGCGGCGCCCGCCTGCTCGCCGCGCCGCCCGCGCCTGCCTCGCCGCCTGCAGAGCCGCCGCCGTCGCTCCCGTCAGCGTTGGCCCTCCTCTGCACGGTGGGCCTGTCCTGCAGCTCGTTCTGGGCCTCGCGGGCCCGCCCCATCCAGGCCGTGGCCTGTGAGGCCTTGCCATCCAACCTCTTCTGGGCGTCGATCAGCTACTGGTGGATACTGTTCAACTCGAGCTTGGCTGTGCCCTCCCCGCCGATGCTGTCGAGGCAGACGAAGAGCTCCTCACCCCTGTGTCATAGGACAAGTTTCTTTTGAGATTGCTGCGCATCTTTGCCACCCGCGGTGCAGATGATGCCCTCCATGGGAAGCCAGCGCTGCCCCCGCACTTCTGCGGTTCAGAACTGCCCCCCACCACCTCCATGGCTAATGTCTGCTCCTTGGCCATGGCGGCTTCCAGGTCCTTCTGCAATCGTATGACTGCCTGAACCGTTTGGTCATGTCGGTTCGAAGGGTGTCGTACTGCTCCGTCCGTTGTTTGAAAGAATATGGTGGACACTGCCTGCTAAAGTGTCCGATTGCTTCAGTTTGGCAGGCTGCGTCTTGAGGCTGTTCTTGAGGTCGGGGCCGGATGCAGCCGCAGTGCTTGTTGCAGGAGAGGATTGATAATGGCTATGCCCACGCTGCCACGCGGAGGCGATGCTGATGTCGAGCGTTGGCTACCTGCTGCGTTGCGCTGGCCACCATCATCATCAAAACGAACTTTGTGGAGGCATTCGCCTGCAGCCTTCGCGGCCTCTTCGACGAGGGAATCTATAGCTTGACTTTCCGACCAAATCTGCAGCAATGATGGTCGCGCTGAACAAGTTTGTCGTTCCATTCGTTTTCCCCGCAACGGCGACATGTGGACCATGCGTGTGACATCCCTCGGATTTGGTCACCGCAGCCGTCCGATACAAGAGAGACCATGAGGTGAGGGGTGCCTCAAACACCACGGGGAGCCACCGAGGATTGGACGCCGCGAGATGCCCAAATGGATCTCGAGCCCAAGTTGCTTGACTGGGATGGTGGGAGGGAGATGATCGAGAGGAGGGAGGGAAGAGAAGGAAGACCGCATCCTCGGCCCATCGCCTCATCGCCACTAGCAGGTTCCAGAATCCTCGTCCTGTTTCCACCTCTCCTCCGCAAATCCCGCAACGCTCGGGGATCCCCAAACCGTGTGGTGACGGACAGCGCGGTGACCTCGAAATCCAAGAAACCTCTCCGCGCGGTCCGTCACCACACGGTTTTGGGACCTCAGAGGCCCCAGTCGTCCGAGATATTCTCGGAGAGCGACCCGAATCTCAAACCCGTGCGGTGACTCCGAAGCCCCACTGGCTCATCGTGCGGTGTGGTCACAACACCGTTGGGGGGCCCCCGAAGCGCCGTCGAGGGCGAACCGTCTCATCACTCCAGGGCCGGCGGAACCCTGGCCGATGTGTCGAAGCACGAGCGGTATGGCCTCGCGCGCTTCCCCCGTTGCAGGGGCAGAGCTGGCCGCCGCGCACACCTGCCCAGAGACCGCGGTAAGTCTGCCCTGGCAGCACCTCGCTGTGCGGGGGCCCTGCCAACTTTCGGCCTCGGGGGACCTCACCTGGCCCCGGGACCGTCAACAAATGACACGTCGTTCACTCCTAATCGTGCTCATTTCTAATTGTGCTCGTTTCGAATTGTTCCTGGCCCCCCAGTGTCTAGGAAGAGGCCCAGGATAGAACAACTTGAAATGAAAGGATCTTGCCCCCCAGGAAATGAAAGACATTTCGAATACTTAGAAACGAGCAATGTGTACTCAGGATTATAAGCCCGTCCCCGAGAAATGGTCCAGACCTCTGGGCAGCCATGCAGCGGGCAAATCACGAGATCGGACGTGGGGGGAATTCCCCAGGACCATGGGTTGGAGAGCCGAGGGCGAGGGAGAGAGAATGCCCCTCCAGCCGTATCTCGCCCTTTCCCTCCCAACATCCTTCGCCGGGATGTTTTTGCAGAGTGACCCGCTAGTCGTCTGGACCCCTCCCCCAGTAATGCGGGATGACGATAAATAAAAAATGGGAGAGAACGATTCAACAAAATAGTTTCCTGCTAGTTCTGCACAACTTTCTGACTCGAGGAGAACGATTAGAGAAGTAGTTGTCCAGCCCGCGGCCGGTTTTTTCTAATCGTCATCCCGGGCGCCGCCGCGTGAACACGACCCCCGGTCATTTATTAATCGTCATCCTCCATTACCAATTCTTCGTCCCGAGCCCTTTTTTGACAGTCCCAGAACCTGGCAGTGGCCCCCTGAGGCAGGGAGATTCGCAAAAACCCTCCGTCGGGGTTTTGCACAGCGGCAGGACGAGGAGGAGGAGGAGGGAGGAGGGAGGAGGGAGGTGGAGGAGGAGGCGAAGGAGGAGGTGGAGGAGGAGGAGGAGGAGGAGGAGGAGGAGGAGGAGGAGGAGGAGGACGGCAGGAAGTCAGGGCTCCTCCGCCTACGTCCCCTCCTCCTCCTCCTGCGCTCGGCGGCGAGCCGAGGGGGGGAATTGAGACGGGGCGGGCCTTCCCAGAAGGCTCGGAACCCCCCCGGGCCTTCTGGGACGTTTTCGGAGCCTTCCCCGAAGGCGTAGGAGACCTTTCCGCAGGCGCGAGGGCCTCTGAGAGGCCCCGGCGCCTTCGGAGAGGGCCTTCTCCTTCTCGCTTCCCCCCCTCGCTCGCCGCCGATCCTCCTCGTCACGTCCCCCACCCACCTCTGAAGGGGCCCTGGGACACACACGCACACATAAATACATACAAATTAAAAGGGTTCCCCTATAGTTTCTCATATTTTCAGGGTTTTTGTCTTCCCCCCACTTCCCACATTTTCCCATGTTTTCTTGGGAATCGACGATTAATCGTGTCTGTGTGTTTTCTTCCCTCCTGAACCTCTTGGCCGTGGCCGGACGGCTGGAACGCGCCAAGACGCTAGGGCACGGGGCCCATGCCGCCCATGCCGCCCATGCCGCCCATGCCGCCGCCGCCGCCGCCGCCAGCTTCCTTCTTCTTCTCGGGGACCTCGGCGCACGGGCGGGCGGGGTCGCGCACACGCGGCAGCTACGGTCGGGAACTTGTGCTTGGCGCGTCGAGGCGGTACGCCATGCCTTGCAAGCGGATAGCTCCAATGTGGCCCTGGGACACACGACCAAAAAGACACAGGTCCCAGGATTCCCCCTCCGTTTTCCGATCTGTTCTGGGTGTTCGTCTTCCCCCCCACTGCCCATAGTTCCCTATAGTTTCCTGGGAGTCGAGCAGGAGGAGGAGGAGGAGGAGGAGGAGGAGGAGGAGGAGGAGGAGGAGGAGGAGGGCAGGGAGGGAGGGCGGGAGGGATGGAGGGAGGGAGGGAGGGAGGCAGCGAGGGAGGGAGGAGGGAGGAGGGAGGAAGGAAGGAGGGCAGGAATGAGGAGGGAGGAGGGAGGAGGGGGAGGTGGAGGAGGAGGAGGTGGAGGAGGAGGAGGAGGAGGAGGAGGAGGAGGAGGAGGAGGAGGAGGAGGAGGGGGAGGGGGAGGAGGAGGAGGAGGAGGAGGAGGAGGAGGAGGAGGAGGAGGAGGAGGGGAGGAGGAGGAGGAGGAGAAGGAGGAGGAAGGGGATGAGGAGGAGGAGGAGGAGGAGGAGGAGGAGGAGGAGGAGGAGGAGGAGGAGGAGGAGGAGGAGGAGGGAGGAGGAGGAGGAGGAGCAATGGAGCAATGGCCGAGGGCGCAGAAGGGGATCCCGACTGAGCCTCGGAGGAAGCGCCGATGGGCGCGGACGAGCGCCCGAACTGCTGGCCACAGCTAGTCCGAGTCACCAGACTCGGGCAGTGGCTGCAGCACGGGGGCCGAGGGGGAGAGGGGAGCCGAAGGCGCGGGCCTGCTCAGCGCCGCAGCATCGGCTCGCGGCACAGGGCTCCGACCCTCCTCCTCCTCGACCCCACGAGCGACCCCGACCCCCCCATCCGCCACCCCCGTCCCGACGACAGTGAGCGTCTGCACGGCGGCCTCAGGGGCAATCGGGGCCAGCATCAGCGGGCCGAGCGCCTCCCCCGTCTTGGGGTGGCGGCCGCGCTGGGCCTGCTGCAACATTCGCTGGACTCTCTCACTTCGCGCACCACCCCCACCCGCTCCCGACCGAACTCCATCCTCCCTGACGATGCACGCGCGCTTGAGGCCCACAGAAAACCTCTGCGGGCGCACGGCGTGGGCCCCGCAGCGCGTGCAAATCAGCACACGGTCGCATTCCTGGACCCGGTGTCCAGGACCAACGTCCTGGGGATCACACAGACGGGAGGAGAGGGACTTCAGGGAGGACGGGGTCGAGGCCTGGCGCCAACAAACAGTGCACCCGATCGCGCCAGCAGGAAACAGGGCGAACGCGTGGGTGGTCGGCTTGCGCTGGCGGGGGGCTTTAGGGGCAGGCGGTAGCGGCCGATGGACGACGGGCGATGCCATCATGGCCACTCTGTGGGCGGCAAAAGCGAGACATCTCATCCGCTGTTTCGCCTGCTCCATCACAAACTTATGCGCACGAATGACCGAGGAAGATCCAGACAGATCGAGCGCGGCCATCTTCGCGAAACAGTCAGCCCACATGTTACCGAAAAAATTCTCAAGGGGCTCTCCCGAGGAAATGCACGACGCAATGCCTTCATCCACGGACCTGTGAGCATGAGTCCAGGAGAAACGGGGCAAACGATCTAAATCTCTTTCAAACAGAGCGTGCAACTGCCTCCAGACACTCGCATGGGGAGCTGTCGGTCGAGCATGCCTGCCAAACCAAAGCTCCCCCTCTTGCGCCAGAGCCAGGTGATCGGTGACAAACTCAGACGGCCTGGACGCCAATTCGAGACCTCGGAGGGCGGCGACCCTTTCGGCCCTGGGAACGGTTTGAATCGGGCCTCCGAGGCCACCAAAAACAGCCTTGAACGGCAAAAAATTTGGCGTGAGGGCCACGACCGCCCAGCCACACCGCCTAGCCTCGGGGAAATCGCTATCCAAACAGGACCCGTCGCCAAAAACTTTAGACGGCCACGGCACATCGCGGGCACCCCACTCTCGAACAGGCAGCATGCTGGGCTCAGGGGGCCGAAACTCAGGGCGCATCGGCAACGCGTAGAGCAGGTCGACAGCGGTGAAGTCCCACTCCGCACCAGCGCCCGTCTGGCCCTGCTCCCAAATGTCCTTCCTGACCTGCAGCACGTCCTCGGGGTACGGGCCCTGCTCCTCCCCCTCCTGCGCCTCGTGCACGGTGCAGTAGAACATCTCGTGCTCGAGGTCGGCAGGCGCGTGACCACAGAACTCACAAACTGCATTGTCCGTGTAACCTGCCTCGCGCCGACGGGCGGGCGTCCACATGCCGTCAGACTGAAGCTTTGCCAAAGCACCACGCAGCCCGCTGGACAGCCTCTGCAGGTGACCCTGACGAAGGGCTCGCATCCAGATATGCCTTCGGCTTCCGTCTGGCCGCCGAGCAGGGGCTCCAGGCAGATGGTCCAAAATACGATGGCTCTGCCAGCGCTCCAGGCTCAGGTACATGTAGTGCTGGACCTCGCTGGGACAGACCCTCAGCAGGTCGATGCCGACACCCGCGTCGTCCACGAGGACCGTGGCACTGGCCATGTCCCACCCAACTCTGCGCAGAGTGAGCCAGAGCGCAGAGATGGGACCCCTAGCACTGGCCCAAGTGACAGCACCGCGAGCATCCTCGAACTGGTCTCTCAGCGCCATCCAGGCCCTCTGCAGCTTGGCGAGAGAGCCGCGCGCGGCCCACACCCACACCGTGTACTGCTGCAGCAGGCTGCAGGTGGCGTGGTAGATCGGGTCGAAACTGCGCTGCTTCTGAACTGCCAGGTACAGTGTGAGGGAGCCGCTGCCACTGAAGCCACAAAAACTGCCTGCCAAGCTGCGCATCTGCTTCAGCTCGCCGTCGTTGATGCCGCTGACAGCCGCGCCGTGGCCGACCGACGGCAGCACGCCGGTGGTCCAGAGGCGCGCCGAGCGCCAGCGTCCAGCCCCCTTCTGCAACGCCTTCAGCCGAGGGCGACGAGCATCCATCTTCTTGAGGCGATCCTTCTGGACACTGCGCACAGCAGCGCAGGCCGCGAGGTCGTGGCCCAGGTAGCGCATGTGACGTTTGCCACCAATCTGGAGCAACTTGGCATACTGCCTGAAGTGATACTTGGACTGCTGTGTGACGGCCAAGTGCCCCGATTTGTCCAACTGCAGGACCAGGCCGAGGGGTTTGACCGCCTCGCAGAACACTTTCGTGGCAGTCGCAAGCGTGCGGGCACCACGGGCATCGGCACCAGTCCACGACAAAGCCACGTCGTCCACCAGGTCACGTGGGCGAACCTCAGGAGCGATTCGAGCAGTCATGCGTAAAGTACGCGTCAGTAGCACCATCAGCAGCGTAGTGGCATGAGTGCACCCCGCCAGGATGCCCTGGTACGCACGCTTCGCCTCCGAGAAGGAGTTGTACGCACAAATCGTGCGCTCCTGCTGGTAGAGCAGCACGAGCATGTACGCGAGCCTCATGGGAAACAGATTGGCCCTGCACTCGTCCAGCAGCGCCTGGTGACGCACCAACTCGTAGCACTTGAGCATGTCGAGCAGCACGATCAGGGCGTGGTCGCCCGTGAGGTGGGCCGTCTCCTTCTCGAGGGCCAGATCGAAGGCAGCGTCGGAGGAGGATCTGCCTCCCGTGTGCCCCCAGAACTCCTCGCTGGCGTTGTTCGCTTCCCACTGGGCAGAGACAGGCCGACGGGCCCTCCCCCACACCCGAACGAGCGTGTTGAGGAGAGCGATCAGGCGCCCCCCCCCTCCTGGTTTGGGAAGTCGAACGAGCTTCGTCATGAGCCGAGCCTTGGGCCAGATGAGCAGCTGCTCGCAACGACAGAAGACGGCGGCCATCGCATCCAGGGCTGCGTCGGACAGGTGGTCCAACGCCCGCGGGGCAATCCTGACCTGCCCCGTGCCCGTTGTCCAGCTGAAGGCGCGAACCGCACGGCGTACGTCCCTGCCGCTGAGAGGTGGCAGCTTGTCCCACACCTGGTGGTCGCTGGGCAAATCAATCACCCCGTCATCGTGCCTCTGCCAGTACTGGTTCCAGTGCTGCACCTTACGATCGGCCAGCTGGTACGCGTGCTGGACACCTGCGCCGTAGTCGATCACCTCCTGGAGCGCCAGTGGCTTGGAAAACTTGTGAGCACGACTAGCGCCGCCTTCGAACGACGCCTCGGCCCACGCCTGCCAACTGGCGGCTACCTTACTCTCATGCGCCCGCTGCTTGCCCTCTGCCTTGACAATGATGCGCTCGATTTGCTGGTCGAAATCCTCCCGCACGAAAGCCAGGAGCCCAAGCGCAAAAATATCGACAGCCGCCTTATCAAGATGTGGCCAAACATCGGAGCGAGCAGCAATCCTTTTCAAAAAATACTGGAACTCCAAAATGTGCCTCGCGGTCTTGTCGCACAGCTTGCTGCAGTAGACCCTCGGACGGGGGCGTGCTCCAGCCGCTGCCGCCACCGCGCAACAGGACGCAGCCGCAGACGACGCACCCGTAGCCGAGGAAGTCGATGGCGATGGTGCCTCCGTCCCTGAGCAGTTCAGCCCTGGCAACAAGAGAGCAGGAGGGTCGGACAGCTTCGTGATGAACGATGCGAGAGCAGTGCGGACACGTCGGAACTGCCGCGCCCAACGCGCTGCAGCAAGCCAAGCTGCCACGTCGGGCGCCTTTCTCTTCCAAGACTGCCTCTCGTCAGGGTCGAACCTGGCCCACTCGAACGTAGGTGGCGCAGGCTTGGACGTGAACTTTGACACCTGCGGTCCGACGACATCGTAGCGGCCCTGCAGCTCGAACTCGATGCCCAGCAGCAGCTGGTCCCACACGTCGGCCATCTGCTCCGAGGAGGTCACCTGCCTGATCTGATTCAGCAGCGGGTCCCAGTCTGGCGGCGGCCTGGCGCAGCCGACCTTCGGCGCCTTGGTGAAACCCTTGGCCTGCACCAGCTGCCGAGTCCACATCACCTGCGGCTGGGCTGCCAACCTGAGCGTGACGGGCAGGTGCGGCCAAGTATCTGCCTCACCGACTGCTGCATGGCTCATCCTCGGCATGACCTGGCAGGCCACGAAGAAGAAGTCGATCGTGCGCCCAGGGAGGGCCTGCATGCAAGTCGGCACCGATGGCACAACCGCAACGCCATTGACCGAGTGCAGCCACGACAGCGGGCCCAACTGCTTGAGCTCCATATTGAAATCTCCCCCCACTATCCACGGCATCTGCAAGGTGTCGAGCACCTTCAGATACTGATACAACTTGAACAGGATGGCCAGGTTCTCTGGCGACAGCTGCTCGTCAACCCGCATATACAGAGAAATCATGACGAAACCTCGCTTGCCACCGCAGTTGACGTGCGCCGCCACCATGCGCCCTGGCTCCAACGTTGGCCCTTCTAGCGCAGGGGGCCCTGTGATGAGCACGCGCTTGGGCACCAACACCGCCACGCCGCCCTGACTGCCAGTGCCCTGTCCAGGTAGCGCAGCCTCCCAGACACCGCGGTAGCCCTCGGCGAGCGCGTCCCGCTGCGCCTTGGCCAGGGCCCCTGGCAGCGCATGATGCTCCTGCACGGCGACGCACATGCTTGAACAATTCGCCGGGTAGTCAACCATGGGGCCGCCTGACGAGACATTGATAGTGGTGACACCGATAGACTCAGCCATTGCGATGGGCACGAGACACAGCCACAGCAGAAAACGAAAGGGCGCCAGGGCATCAGCAGGCAGCGACCGCCTTGTGCCGCTTGCGCCCGAGCTTAGCCATGATCTCCTCGATCCTGCGCTTGTCGCCTCCTGCACTGACGATCTCATCGGCGAACTCGGCGCTGTCGGCCTCGTCCTGCTCCATCGCGTCACACTCCGAAGGCGGGCTGCCGCCAGGCGCCCGCTGGTCCTCAGCAGCGGCGGCAGCAGCCGCAGCGGCTTCGGCCCTCTCCCGCTGCTGCTTGACCTTGGCCTCCTCGCTGAGCAGCTTGAGGCGCTCCAGGTCCTCCTTGAGGCGCTCCGATAACCCATGCTCGGCGCCGAGGAAGTTGAGCACCTGGTCGAGCCCCGCCAACGTTTGGCCGAGCCCGACGGTCGGCTCATCCAGCGGCCCCTTGCCGTGCTCAGGCTGGGGGGGCAGCGGGGCCTGGCTCTGGAGCTGCAGCTGCTGCTCCTGCAACTCCAGCATCTGGGTGTCGAGCGACGCCAACTGCTGCTGCGCCGCCTGCTCCTGCTCATGCAGCAGCGCCAGCTTCTCGCGGATCCCCACGAGGCGCCGCTGCTGGTCCTCCTGCAACTTCTGCTGCCTGCTGATCTGGGCTCCGAGGTCACGTAGCCTCTGGCCCAAGGGGCGCGCCGCCGCCAGCTTCGCCTTGAGCTCAGATTGCTCCTTGACGAACGCCTCCTTTGCGCGAGCGAGGTGAGGATCGGCACTGCCCTCGACCGTCTTGAGCAGCTCGCCCAACTCCCGCAGCCTCTGCTTGTCCTTGACGGATCCGCTGAGCTCCTCCTCGGCCTCCACGGGCGGGGCCTCCGCACGCTTGAGCTTCGCATTGGCGGCCGCCAGCTCCTGCTTGAGCTTCTGGACCTGCACCGAGTCCGCCCATGCAGAGAAGGACCTCCCTGGCCTGCGAAGCGACGGCAGCGGCGGCTCGCGATACTCCTTGAAGCAAAGCCCCTTGCCCAACTTGCACTTGGCGCAGGATGTGGCGTCGGCGAAGTTGAACCAGGGAAGGCCCTTGGGCCCGACGCAGCTCTTGCAGTACCATTGCCGCTTGCTCTGCTCCGAACGGTAGTGCTGTGGCGCCATCCAGCAGGCTGGCCTCGCAGGCACCGAGAGCAAGCCGCCGAGGCAGCGCAGGCTGGGCAGCAAGGCTGAAAGTGGGTGCCCAACTCCCACAGTGTAGGCGAACGGTGGTCTGGCCGCGGACTAGCGGTATCCGTGTGGTCCCCTGGGGCACCAATCATCTTGAGCCAAAATGGCTACGGACTGGAGGAGGAGGAGGAGGAGGAGGAGGAGAAGGAGGAGGAGGCGGAGAGAGGAGGAGGAGGAGGAGGAGGAGGAGTTTCGAAGAGGAGGAGGAGGAGGAGGAGGAGGGCGAGGAGGGGGAGCAAGGAGGAGGAGGAGGAGGAGGCGGAGGAGGAGGGAGGAGGAGGAGGAGGAGGAGGAGGAGGAGGAGGGGGAGCGGAAGAGGAGGAGGAGGAGGGGAGGAGACGAGGAGAAAGAGGAGGAGAAAGAGGAGGAGGAGGAGGAGGAGGAGTGAGGAGGAGGAGGAGGAGGAGGAGGAGGAGGGGAGGGGAGGAGGAGGAGGAGGAGGAGGAGGAGGAGGAGGAGGAGGAGGAGGAGGAGGAGGAGGAGGAGGAGGAGGAAGGAGGAGGAGGAAGGAGGAGGAGGAAGGAGGAGGAGGAGGAGGGGGAGGGGGTGGAGGAGGAGGAGGAGAGAGAGGAGGAGGAGGAGGAGGAGGAGGAGGAGGAGGAGGAGGAGAAGGAGAGGAGGAGGAGGAGGAGGAGGAGTTCGAAGGGAGGAGGAGGAGGAGGAGGGCGAGGAGGGGGAGCAAGGAGGAGGAGGAGGAGGAGGAGGAGGAGGAGGAGGAGGAGGAGAAGGAGGAGGAGGAGGAGGAGGAGGAGGGAGGAGCAGGAAGAGGAGGAGGAGGAGGACGAGGAGGAGGACGAGGAGAAAGAGGAGGAGGAGAGGAGGAGGAGGAGGAGGAGGAGGAGGAGGAGGAGAGAAGAAGGATGAGGAGAAGGTCGAGGAGGAGGGAGAGAAGGAGGAGGAGGAGGAGGAGGAGGAGGAGAGAGGAGGAGGAGGAGGAGGGGGGAGGAGGGCGAGGAGGAGGAGGAGGGTGGAGAGGAGGATGAGATGAGGGATGAGGATGAGGATGAGGATGAGGATGAGGATGAGGATGAGGATGATGATGATGATGATGATGATGATGATGATGATGATGATGAGGAGGAGGAGGAGGAGGAGGAGGAGGAGGAGGAGGAGGAGGAGGAGGAGGAGGAGGAGGAGGGGGACTCCCCATGTTTTGCCGGGAGTCGACGGTCATTGTGTCTGTGTGTGTGTGATTGCTCCCCTTCTGAAGATGGCGTGCCGCTCCGCCTCGTGTGCGCTCGGGACGCCCACGCTCTCGACACGGGGACGTGCCGGGCCTGCCGCGCCGAGGCGTGCGGGGACGGAACCGGCGGCGCGACGGGCGGAGCAGCCGCTCCCGACCCCGCCATTGACTCCAGATTTCGTAGGTAATAAAGGGAGGGGGGTCTCATTTCGGGGGGGGGTCTCTTCCAGGCTATCTTGGAGGGCCCGCCCCGTGAGCCCCGCCAAAACGACCCGGGATGGAGGACCAGTCCTGGGCGGAGACCTGCGGAGGTCGATGTCTGACACATCATAGCGTCGGGGGCCTGGGCTCTCCCCACCCCCCTCCATGCAAACATACTCCAGATTTCGTAATTAAGGGAGGGGGGTCTCATCTCGGGGGGGGGTCTCTTCCAGGCTGTCTTGGAGGGCCTGGGGGGGTCTGGGGGCGATGTTTTGGAGGGTTCTCCCACGGGGGGGAGGTCTGACATGACTTGTCTTGGAGGGTCCAGACCCCCTCCCCCTTATTACAAAATCTGGAATGCCCAAGAATCCAGCGCATGGAACGAATCCAAACGTTTCCGGCCTCCGAAAGGCCCTCCCGCCGGGCTGCGGGGCCGTCAAAACAAGACGCAGGACGGAACACCGGCCCCGGGGCATGGGTCGAGCCTTCCGGGGGGGCCGTGCTGAACAGATCACGACGTCGAACCTCTGGGTGCCCCACCGCCGTGCCGGACGGGTCCAGTCCCAGGCCCCGGCACGAGGCACGCGTCCTCCTGGCCGAGGCAGGGGTCTGGACACCATCCTGGGGCCACGGCTGGCCCCGGCCGAGCACGGCGGTGGTGCAGATAGGCCGCCAGCTGTGGAGGGAGAGTGATGGGGCAGGAGGACCCAGCATCGAACGGGTACGTCGGGCCGGCGATCGACATGAATCGGATCGGCGAACATCGGCAGCTGCGTCGGAAGAAGTCGACTCGGCGGCAATCGGCAGACTGATAAGCCTCCATTGAGACATCGAAATCCAGATCGGAATCCGAAGCCGACTCGAATCGGAATCGGAAGCCATCGAACGCGAGCGAATCGAATCGGCGGAATCGAAACGGGCCCTGATGAGGTGGCAGGAGGGGGAGGATCGAGAGGAGGGAGGGGCGAGAAGGGTGAGGGAGAATCGGGAGGAAGAGAGGATCGATGGGGTCCGCCCTGGCTGGGGCTCGAGAGAAGGTAGGCTCGAGAGGCGAGAGGAAGGAGGGAGGGGAGGCGTTGGAGCAGACCCGTCGAGAGAAGCAGACGAGCGTGCGACGAGAGGCAGGCGAGAGCAGGAGAGGGGAGGGAAGGGCAGGGGGGGGGGCGAAGGCGAGGGGGAGGAGGGGAGAAGGGGGGGGGGGGAACGACGGCTGGGATCGGGGGAGGGGAGGGGGGGAGGAGGAGGGGGATGGGGAGAAGGAGCGGAGGGGAACGCTGGGGGAGAGGGCGCGACATCAGTGCCTATGGGGGCTGGGGTGGACCAAGATCGGGGACGGGGGCCCGCTCCAGGCTGGCGGGCGGCGAGGGCAGGAGGCTGCATGGGGGGCCCTCCGGCCGTCCTCCCTCGCTCCCCCCCCCCTCCCCAGGACGCAGCGAGGAGGAGGAGGAGGAGGAGGAGGAGGAGGAGGAGGAGGAGGAGGAGGAGGAGGAGGAGTCTCTGCCTGATCGCGTAGCGATCTGGAGGAGGAGGAGGAGGAGAAGGAGGAGAAGGAGGAGAAGAATCTCTGAGGCCCGGCGGCTCTGGAGGATGCCTCGGGCGCCGCGGCCTTCCCAGAGCGTTCCCGGAGCGCTCTGAGGGCCTTTCCGGCGCGCTCTGGAACGGACCTGTCCTCGTCCTGGCCCGGTCCGATCCCCGAGCACGCCTCTGTGAGGGGCTCGATGTGCGTAAACGCCCCAGCTCCCCACACTGTGGGACGCCAGAGCGTCTGTACACTGAACCCTTGCGCCGAGCTCCTTGGCGCCCTGGCCGACCAAACGACATGGGATATGCATCGAGCCCCTCCGACCCCCACCCCCCATTCGACCAGAGTCGGACCTAGGACAGGACATCCCTCAAGACTATGCCCTCTACTTCTTTGACACCTCCTGAGCTCTGCCGTCGCCAAACACTGCAGCATCGTGCCTGCGAGCTCGACGGGAGCCCGGGACCTTCTCTGCCCCTGCACTCTTCGGGCCGGGTCGACCCAGGAGGGGCCCCTGGGCCCGACAGAAGCGTGGGATCGCACTTTCCGACGCCAGGATCTCACGGGCTTCCTCCCTCGGCCATTGCGGTGCCGATGGCCCCCCCTTCCTCGGCAACGAGGCTGGGCCCCCGGGCCCCCTGGAACTCCACAGCCCCCGGCCTCGTCAGGATTGACGCATCGTGTCGTCGGGATTGCAAGCGTCAGATCGTCGAGGTCTGGTTTCACGAGCACCCGTTGCGATGCCGCTCCTCCTCCTCCTCCTCCTCCTCCTCCTCCTCCTCCTCCTCCTCCCTGAACCGGGTCGTGAGGGAAACGGGTCTTGGACCCGTGGGACTGCCTCCATAGGACGAGCTCTTCATCCCGGGTCGTCTTCTGCCAGCCCACGGGGGCCCGTGGAGGGCCAGGCCCCGCGATCCCGACAACGGCGAAGAAGCTGCGGACCCGTTGCCCGCAGTCAGGGAGACGTAAGACTCGGGCTCGGGTGACTCGGGTTGCCCCGACGGGCCATCCTGAAAATGACGGAACCCAATCTGAAATCTGACGCGAACTTCCTCTGTGGGCATCCCACAGAAACTGGACCGTCACAATCTGGGGCGGGCTTGTCAAAAAACGCGGGCGAACCGGAGTCCTGGCGTACTCGAGTCTTGCGCTTCTGCGACGCAGGACCCGCTTCCCCCATGGCGATCCTGAGAGGCCTCCTAGATGGGGTCCGAGCAGATGGGGTCTGAGGATCGCGCCGCATCGCTGATGCATCTGCGATGCATCGGTGATGCATCGGCAATGCACTGGCGACGTCGGCATGGAGAAAAATGGGCCCCACATCGAGCCGCCTCGCCGATGCATCGTCGATGCGGCGCGACCTTCCTCCTCCTCCTCCTCCACCTCCTCCTCCTCTTCCTCCTCCTCCTCCTCCCCCTCCTCTCCTCCTCCTCCTCCTCCTCCTCCTCGTCCTCCTCCTCCTCCTTCTCCTCCTCCTCCTCTTACTCCTTCCGCTCCGATCCCATCTGGGAGGCCTAGACCTCCTCCCCCTCTCAGCCCCGAGGCTGGCCCCCCGGTGCCTCCGCGATGAGCGCCTCCGTCGTGGTCATCAGGGACGCCACGGACGCCGCGTCGGCGAGCGCAGTCCGCACCACCAGCGTGGGGTCGATGATGCCCGCCTCTCGGGAGGCTATCGGGGAGCGGCTCGCCGATCGAGCCTCGATTGCCGCCGACGCCGCGCTGGGCCCCCCTGGCGTCGCCTCCGACGCCTCGATCCAGCGAGGAGGGGCGCTGGCCCCCCCTGGCGTCGCCTATGACGCCGCCCCTGGCGCGCTCCGCGGCGCCTCCGACGCCGCCCCTGGCGCGCTCCCCTGACGGCTCGGCGATGGAGCCTCGATCGGCGAGCCGCTCGAGATTCTGGTGCTGCCGGGGGTGCCCCCGGCCCAGGGTGCCCCCAGGACTTACTTCCAGGGAGGCCCCCTCGCAGCGGGCGCAGACGGGTACAACAGAAACCTTTTCGCCGTTGGGGACGCCTGCCCCCCGGGCGGCTGGAAAGTTTATACCCCTACGATGCCACGTGGGGATATAAACTCTGCAGCCGCCCAAGGGCAGGCGTCCCGGACGGCGGAACAGTTTATGTCCTACCATTCTTCGCCCGCTAGAAGGAGGCCCTCACAGCCTCCAGAGCACCCCTCACGAGGCTCAGAAGGGCCCAGGGGCTCCAAGAGTGAGCGAAAAGCTGGGGGCACCCGAACTCCGAAAATTTGTGCTCGTGTGTGCCTCTGTCCCTCTACGACCGACCCCTGAGATCCGGCATCGCTGGAGCTGCTCGGGGCCATTTTGGGGGCTCCCTGGGTCTCCCTTTGGCGGCCCCTGGAGGCTCGCTCCTCGGTAGGCGCTCTGGCCGTCCGAGGACGCGCCTGGCCCGCCCGACACCGTCGTGAACCGCGTCGTCGGGGCCTGCGGACTTCTTGGATCGGCGCTGGGGCCCCCCCTGGCGCCGCCCCTGACGCCGCGACCCTGGCGCCCTCCGCGGCGCCTCCGACGCCACGGAGGGCGCCAGGAGGAGGAGGAAGAGGAGGAGGAGGAGGAGGAGGAGGAGGAGGAGGAGGAGGCCTTGACGGCTCGACGATCGAGCCTCGATCGGCGAGCCCTGAGATTCTGGCGTCGCGAATCTTGCATGGCGTGCGGCCTTGCCTCCTTTCGGGCCGCGGGGCCCTCACGGGAGGATATCCGGCTTGAAGAACTGCAGCAGGACGGTGGGGTCCAGGGCTCCAGTCGAGTTCTTCCACGACGCCGCGCTTCTCGTGATGCCAGATCTCAAGGATCGGTCGCAAGCAAACATTACATAACCACCATCTGTCGGAGGTCCGCGCGGATTTCGTGGATTGTCGCTGGACCCCCCTCCCTGGCGCGCGGAGCGCCCCTGGTGGCAGTGGAGGCGCAGCCGGGGGGCTGATCGCCGATCCTAAAAATCCGCGTGGACTTCCGCGTGGAGACATCGAGCTTGAAGCGGCGATACATCGCCGGCTCAAATTTTGGAACCCGCCAAGACCTCCCATCGTTGTGAAAGAGATCACGGCGGGATGTTTTTGTTACCCAATTCTGGAATCTGGGGCCCTCACCCGGCCCCAGGACCGTCAAAGAGATACTCGGGATGAAAAGCCTGTCCCGGGGAATGAAGGGACACGATGGGGGGGGCCAGCTCAGGGGGGGGACATCGATCCGGAATCGGCGATACACCGCCAGCAGATATACGAGTAGGCTCCTGGAGGAGGAGGAGGAGGAGGAGGAGGAGGAGGAGGAGGAGGAGGGAGGAGGAGGGGAGGAGGAGGAGGAGGAGGAGGAGGAGGAGGAGGAGGAGGAGGAGGAGGAGGAGGAGGAGGAGGAGGAGGAGGAGGAGGAGGAGGAGGAGGAGGAGGAGGAGGGGGAGGAGGAGGAGGAGGAGGAGGAGGAGGAGGAGGGAGGAGGAGTAGGAGAGGGAGGTCGATGCGTCAGCACCTGAGCCCAGCTCCCTATCGTTTCGCCTCGAGCGGGGATAGGATAGGTTCTCCGCTGCGAGAGGGGTGTGTGGTAACTTGTCGAGCTCCTGAGAGACATATTTGTGATTGTGGCGATTCTCGTAGCGTGATTGCCATGTGCGCTGCCAGCGCTCTCATTTGGCAACACGAACCGCGACAACCGAAGGGACATCGCGGGACGCCGCGGCGCCCCGTGCTCCCGCGTGAAAGAGCGGCACCTTCAATACCGCGACTTGCCACGAACGTGCAGTTGCACTCTGTGGGGGAGCAGGTCCGCCTCTGTTGATCCAACACCGCTGCAGTATGTTCAACATGAGCATATCTGGGAGTCTTGTACCTGCATGGTGCCAACTTGCTCTTGATTTCGGCTGAAACGAGGTGCAAGCACAGCGGGGAGCATAGTCATGACGGGGATGATTCAGCAGCAAGGGCACGGATAGGAGCTGCTGCCGACGCCACTTCCAAGCGTGCCCTGGAAGCCCTCAACCCGCACCTTCACACCTGCGTGCCTCTCTCTCTCTCTGTCCTGTCTCTCTCTCTTGAGGCTCCCTCTGACTGTGCATGCACGCGCACAGCGGCAGGAAGGCTGCACCGAGCAGCAGCTTTCGGAGGCCCGCGCTGCTCTCTGGACTTGGCGCCGAGCCACCCCCCCTCCTGGGCGCACGGAGCGCGCCAGGGCGGTGCCCGGAGCCGCTCCAAGACATCCACGTGGACCTCCGACAGCCAGTGTGTGTGTGTGTGTGTGTTTTCAGTGCGCGCTGCTCCACCACAGCGGAGGCCCGTCCACAAGAACCCTTCCACAAGAAACCCAACCTGACACCCCAGGACGTCCATGGATTTTTGGTGTGGGCGCGTCAAGCCTTCCACAGCAAAACCAGCGCCACCCCAGAAATCCAGGGCACGCTGGAGGCAAGCAGGGTTCTTCTTGGCATGGGTCTCCACTGTATCGCTCTCATTCTCTCCTCTCTCACTCTTCTTGTCTTCATCGACTACCTCTCTCTCTCTCTCTCTAAATTTCTCTCCCCCTTTGCCTGTTTCATCGCCTCCCTGCCTCTCTGCCTCATCCTTTCCCCCCATGACTTCCCAGGGTGCCGCGATCATATTCACGTACTCGCCCGTCTGCGCGTTGTAGCCTGGGCATCAGATTGAGGCAGATTCGACGAAGGAGTCTGGCCAGACAACCTCCACCACGCCCAAAACGGACGACGGCAATTTTGCAGAAGAAGCCATGGGCGCCATGACATGCGCGGGCTTTAGCAGGGCCCAAGCAACGGGCACCTTGATGCACTAGGACATTGGCGCGCCCTGGAGAACTGCAACCGTGGGGTCGAAACACTCTGGAGTCATGGCCCTTTCCCGCTGGATCTGGCGGGGTCCTGGTCTGCAGATCTCTGACTGAAAACCTCAGCAGGGCCCCTAGAGGGATCGATCATCACATTGCTGGAGGTGCTGGGAGAACTTGGGCGTTCTCGCTTTTCCTGGTCTCCAGCGCTCGGAAACGGCCGAATCAACTCCCAGTATTTGCCCAACGATGGCCCAAGATGCGCCCAAGAGCGCCCCAAGACGGCTCCAAGGCGGCCCTGCATGGCCCTCCCAGACGGCCCAAGCCCAAGATGGCTCCCACAGGGGCCCAAGAGAGAGAGAACACGAACTGACATTTAGAGCCCTCAGCCCCAAGATGACCCCCGGAACCGCAAGCAAGCCCCCAAGAGTTGTCCCCGAAGAAACCCTCAAGAGGCCTCCGGGAAGCCCCAAGAGGCATCCAATCGTCCCCAAAGAGCCCTCCAAGAACCCCCGAGAGGCATTCACGACCCAGGCACGGTGACGGGATGGGCAGAAGGCCACTCTTCTGGCGATCTCGTGATATTCTTTCGTCTGAGGCATCGCAACTCACTGTCGATAGTGCGTGCCGCACGCACACTGCTCTGCCCGCGCGTGCGCTTTCCTCTGGGGTTCCGAACAAGCAAGGCCCGCATCGGATCGTCGGAATGTCGGGATGGAGCCGCATCGAGCGGGCCGGATTCGATGGCCAACCTGAACGGTGCTTTTCGTTTTCGTTTTGGTTTCGCCTTCCCTTGTGTTGTCTTCAACCCAAAGGGAAAAACGCAAAACGAAATCGAAACGAGAAACGACGTCGAAACGAAAACCGCAAAACGAAGTCGCAAAACGAAAAACGAAGTCGAAACGAAACGAAGTCGAAACGAAGTCGAAACGAAGTCGAAACGAAGTCGAAACGAAGACGGCAAAACGAAGTCAAAACGAGAACGGCCCACGAAATCGCCCAAACACGGATTTTTGGCCCCGCGCTGGGGCCACTGCTCTTGGCCCGCGCCCCGTGGGGAGCCCAGGCTCGAGTCCGACTGGCCGAGCAGGCGCTCCACCACCACGATGCCCTCCTTGCCCGCATTCTTGACGATGGTGGTGATCGGCATCCTCAGCGCCTCCCCCGCCCCCAGAACGAGCATCGCCCAAACGACCCCCATCCCCGTGGGCGTGGCCTGGGCCCCGCTGGCCGATTTACACCCGCAGATGGGGATATACACGTCGTTCATGTCTAATCGTGCTCATTTCTAACTGTGCTCGTTTCTAATTGCTCCCGGCCCCCAAGTGGCCAGGAAGAGGCCCAGGAAAGAACAATTAGAAATGGAAGGATCTTGGCCCCCCCAAAAAGAATCAAAGAACTTTCGAAGAATTAGACATGAACAATGTGTGCTGTAGGCCGTTTCCTTCGGGTTTTGGTGGCGAATCGGCATCCGCAGCGCCTGCCCCGTCCCCAAAATCTCAGGGGCGCCGATCGGTGGGGGGGGGGGGGGCACCGGCCGAGGGGGGGGGAGCCATCGAGCCAGATTTGGCGACGCATCGCAGCCAGGTCGGCGATTGCATCGGGGGCGGCCAGGAGGGGGGCGTCCAGGAGGCCAGGAGGGGGCGGCCAAGGGATCGGCATCCGCAACGCCTTCCCCGTCCCCAAAATCTCAAGGGCGCCGTTGGGTGTGGGGGGGGGCCGAGGGGGAGGGCGGGGGGGGAACCATCGAGCCAGGTCGGCCGTGGGCATGTCGTCCTGCATGCGGATCTTGGAAGAATAATAACAAGCAGACAACCAATAATCAGAAATAGTCAAAAAAGCATGCAACATCGCCGTCATACGAGTTTTCAGCTGTTCGGCGGTGCACCGCAGCTCGGCCGGCGATGGATGGCCGTGCACCCCGGCACAGCAGCATTCGCACGCCTCCGGGCGGAGTGGGCTCTCTCGGGCCCCCCCGTCAATCACCCCCGAGCCTGCCCCGCCCCGAGCGAGCGCTGCCCCCGACTTCGGTTGCGCCCGTCGCACTCACCGTGGAGGCCCGTCCACAAGGAGCCTCCCACAAGAAACCCAACCCCTGAGACCCCAGGACGTCCATGGATTTTTGGTGTGAGAGCGTCGCGCTCCCCCTCGCAAAACCATCGAGGCCCAAGAAACCCAGGGAGCCCTGGAGGCCAGCAGGGTGTTTCTTGGCATGGATCTCCACTGTAAGAACCACATCCGAGAAATAATCCCGAGCACCCAGTGAAGTATCGAGACAGTGTTGAACGAGTATCGCCTCCCAGGGACCGACACGTGAAAACCCCCCAGTTTCGGTGCTTTCTTGGTGCTCGAAATTATTTCTGGTGATTTAGGCCACAGTAGGTTGGAACATCATAACCCCTGACCCATTCCCGGTGTATGGACGCCTGAACCTGGAGAACTCGCCTCTGGCCCCTGGAACAGAACATGGGGTTAAACTGTCGGAGGTCCGCGACGATGTCTTGGATCCGCGCTGAACCGCTCTCCCTGGCGCGCGGAGCGTGTCAGGGGCGGCGCTGGAGGCGCCGCCATGGGGGTCCAGCGTCGATCCACGCGGACCTCCGAAAGTTTGCGTGTATGTGTTATCAGAATCTGCCCAGATATGCTGCGATTTGTCCTAGTCCTCCCGCGTTGGGTTCTCATCATGAGTAGAGCACTGCGGTCGCGACTCCTTATCCTCCACTCCTTTTCTTTCTGAAAAAACTCCGCCCTGTCGCGCGAGGCCAGTCGGAAAGGGGGGCCCAGCGTTTCGCCTGACACATTTTCATACCGCTTATGGGCCTCAAGCTGGAAAGCTGGCAACAGATTGACAGATGTGGGGGGCGATTCCAATGCGGCTCTCGCCTTAGCTCCGAACACGTTTGTTTCAACAAATTACAAGAGTTTCACGGATTGAGGGCAAGTCGTTTTCAACATGTAGCCATCGCCTTAGCGCCACGCACATTCACTCGTTTTACGACGTTGAAGGAGTTTCACGGATTGAAGGCAGCTCCTTTTCGACCTGGCCCTGCAAGATCATGCGAGATCCGGTGCCCTGGCTGACCCCAGTTTGCATAGGCGGCCACATGTGCAGGCGAGTTTTTGAAAGACAAATGCAAACATAATCAACAGCTTCCAGAAATCATAAAAACATAATCGAAACATCATCCTCACTGTTTTTGACAATTCTTGGCTATTCCTCCTGAAGAAAGACATGCCCGACTTGACACTGGGGCCTGGGAGCGTAACGTCAAAGAACGACCCAAGGAGGTGGAAATCGTGGGGTCCCGTAATCGAGGACTCTGCTACGGCAGATGCGTGTCGGGACGATCCCTTGCACTGTTCCGTGACACCGTGTGAACCGTTCAGCCTCGAACGATCGGCGCTCTCCGACGGCGCAGGCCGTTCCCGTATCGGCGAATGCCGGGCCACCAGCGAAGTTGAGTCTGGACCGCCCGCGGCGGGTTCGCCGCCGCGCCGACGCGATGCGAGCCTAGCGTGGACCAGGACGTCGGCACGCCCAAGAGCACTCCAGGCGTGGGTCGAGACGTTGTCCAGTCTTGTGCCCTCTCCTGACCAGCGGGTGTTCCACCACCGCTACCATAGGTAGGATACGACACTGCCCGGAGCGGACGCGCCGTGCGCAGTCCGACAAAGCAGAAGGCGAGGGCGGCGGTGGGCCAACCTCGCGAGCTTGAAAAGGCGGCTCCACACCACACCGAACGGATCACGGGCGAGGAGCCTCAGGCACAGTGCAATGGGTTAAGGGACAGCAGAGAAAAAACCAAGATAGTAGTAATGGAAGCGATAAAAATGCTCCAAGCGCAGTTTCGGAGAGAAAGTGAGTGAGGCGCGGGGAACACACCATTAGGGTGCTCCGCTCTCGCGCTTACTTGCCCTCAACACCACTGGCAGAAGTTTGGCTCCGAAGGAGCCTGACCCATAAAACTTCAAGGCCTCAACACGGAGGGGGCGACGCGCTGGGACTCGCTGGGACTCGCCGCGCGCCCCGTCGGCGGGATGGAGTCCCGAAAGAAAAAGACGTCGGCTCCTCTGGGCCCTCTCGCTCAGCTGGTGGCCAGGCGCCCAAGACGGACAATCTACTAAGAGCTGTCCTGCCGTACCTGTGCTAAAAAACCATAAGAGACGCACAAACAAACATAGCCAGGGGCCACCCAGAGCCTGTGGCCCCTGGCGGCCCGGGACGGAACGTGACCCGTTTGCGGCAGCAGCTCAGCAGGCACGGTGGTGATGTTTAGCGTGGGCCTGGGGCGACGAGTGCCTACACGCCTCCTCTTGTCAGGGCGGAAAGCAGGACCCCAGCGAGGCGGGATGGCTGGCTGATTCTGGGCGTCCACGGCGCCGGCCTGCTCGGCGCCTGCAGCGTCACAAAGAAGCGTGGTGGGCTCAGAGCGAACCCTCTGACTCACCTGACGGTCGGTGCCTCGCGACTCGCTGCGTGGACGAACCCTGCCGGCACGTCCAGGGCTAAGGGCACCTGCAGTCGCTGGGCCACCTAGGGGGCCACATGCCAACCCTACCCCTACCACCCATGCCTGGGGGGCGCGGAGGGGGCGGGAGACCGCGTCCGGCTGCGAACCGAGCGGGCGAGCTCGGGAGGCGCGGCAGCAGGCACGGCAGGCGCCGCGGTGGTCGGAGCCCGCAGGCCCGGGAGGCACGTCCCCACCGCCAGGCCTGGCCGCTCGCAGCGACCCCGGGGTGATCGGCGCCGGGGGGGGGGCCCCACGGCACCAGGCACGTCGGCCTCCCGAGCCCGAGCAGGGCAAGCAACGATGGGGAGGGCCGACGACGGGCCCCTCCTCGTGCTCCGAGCCCTTCTGGCAGTGCAGACGTCGCCACAATGCTCCGTTTGGGCACAGGGGCAAAGACATGTCGGAGGTGAGGGGCCTCCTCGGTGGCTTCGGCAGGGGAGGGCCGAGTTGGCCTAAAACGCCTTGGCCTGCGCCGAGGCCCAGTTTCAATCCGCTGGCCGTCGAACAAACTCGACAGGGCGACGACGACCCACCTCAAAACACGAAGGTCATTCTTGTGCCCGAGCCTCATAGCTTTACTATCTACCTTATGTACGGCGTGTGAGTCTCTACCGTTCCGCGCATGAAGGTCGGGTGCCCTTTGACAATGGCGGCCCTGACATCCACCCCCAACTCACCCAGGTCCTGTAGCTTGGCCCAGATGCGTTCCCACAAATCGACGTTCGACCGTCGCGGGGCGCAGCACCAAGTCGGGCCCAGGGCCAGGCCATCGACGAGGCCATTGAAGCCCGTGTGGACCACAGTAGGAGGGAGGCAGACCACGAGAACCTGGAGAAAGGCAAACAGTTCGGCCCTGGGCGAGGTCTGTAAGGGGCCAGGAGGAGGAGGAGGAGGAGGGAGGAGGAGGAGGAGGGAGGAGGAGGAGGAGGGAGGAGGAGGAGGAGGAGGAGGAGGAGGAGGAGGAGGAGGAGCAGAACCTCCCCATCCTCGCTTCTGCCCCGTCTTACCTATGGTAATAGTGGTGGGAAGTCGGCCCATCCTCTCCCGCTGGATCTAGTGAAGTCCTGGCCCGCAGAGTCCTGGCTTCCCTGGGGCCCTGCAAGGACACTGTCAGGAGTCACGCCAGTCGGACGGCCCCAGCAGCGTGCCACTGTTCAGGAGGCGCCACGCGGCTGCACAGACAGCGGATGGGTACAGCCAGAAACCGAGGCCCGAAGGGCATCCCTCGAGCGTACGTGACTACTCCGCCGGCCAACGCACACAGAACCTCCAGGGGTACCCGGGTACCCTCCCCAGGGTGCACAAGACCATCCAATAATAGGGGGAAAACAAACCTACCTCGCTTTTGACCACCCCCGCTTCCAAGAGATACCAAAACAAGGCCAAACTACGGCCTGTACTGGTCAGGCCGCTTGACGAGGAGGCGCGTGGTATGGCTTGGTTTTGCCTGGAAGCGAAAGCGGGGTAGGTAATTCACGCTCTGAAATGAACACGACGAACACCTGGGTACCCTCCCCGGACCGACCTCGATACTGCAGCTCGGTCCGGCTGTGACGCGCGCAGCCCGAAAGACGACCCGCGGGTTCCCTGAGACTCTCTCTCTCCCTCCCGAGCCGGAGGGCCACGGCCAGCGCAGGCGGCGGCCCAAAGGTGGGCTGGGGGGGACGGCCCCCGCAAATGGGCATCGGACAACATCGACGCGGAAGGCTCTTTTTCGGGTCGACCGACATGGGTACGGAAACAGCGGGCACAAAGCCCAACAGCAGTTCTCTTGCTCATTCTGAACAGGGCTTCGTGATCGGCGTCGCCGCGGCCCATCTGTCCACTTGAGACGGAAGGCCGCCTGTCCAACAGCGGCCGCCGTGGGCTTTGGACAACACCTGTTGTTGGGCATCGTAGCCTTTGTTTGTTCGCACCCATGTCGGGCGTCCGAACGTTCGCCGTCCTGGGGGGGCTCTACTGAAGGGAAACTGGGACACACAAATAAATACACACAAATAAAATAATTCCCCATATTTTCCCATATTTTCTGGGTTTTTGTCTTCCCCCCCACTTCCCATATTTTCCTATATTTTCTGGGGAGTCGACGATTAATTGTGTCTGTGTGTTTTTTCCCCTCCTGATCTACGGGGGCCCTCGCCGGCGGCCCCCGGACCGTCCACGGCACGGGTCGGAGGGCACGGCCGGCCCGGGGGAGAACGGGTCGGGACCTCCGCAGGCCGACGCCGCGAACCAACATCACGACGTCGGAGGGTCTTCGGGTGCCGAAGGGGCGCCGCGGGACGGGGCGGACGAGGGGCCATCGGCCGGGAGCGGCGGCCGGGAGCGAGCCGAGTGTGGGTCCGAGGGAGGCGGCTCCTGGGGAGTCCCTGCAAGAACGAGCCAAGGGCCAGCAGGCCCGACCAAGGGGACGGCCCGCGAGCAGTGGCTTGCACGCCTGACAAAAGAGGCCGTTGAAACCGGGGTCGCCCAGATCAAGCCCAGACTTGAGCCCGATGCAGCCGGACGAAACGGGATTCGGCGGAATGCAACGGGAGTCGACCACGGATACCCCAGCGCCGACAGTGAACTGGACCTCCCAGGAGTTGCACCCCAGGAGTGGCAAACCCATGCGAGAGGGGCCAGGACTGCAGGAGCGGACGGCGCCGGGGGGGGGGCGCACGCGCAACCCAATCACGAGGGGGGAACGAACCTTCACCATCGTGCTGCGAGCCTCGAGTCCCAATACACAGCGCACCACACCGCCAACCTGGCGCCCCACCCCCAGGAACCCGCCCGTGCAAGGAATTCCGCCGTGCTCCCGCCGCATCAGAGCTCGACGAACTCCAACCTCTGCGGCCCCCATCCCGCGACGGCCACCACTGGATGGGGCCGCAGCCCAGCCAGCTCGCAGCAGCGCCACCCTACGGGCGGGAAAGCGCCAACAGTCATCGTCACACAAAAGGGATGTCAAACAAGCAACGTAAGAGCTTTCTGGCCAAGGCGAGCCTCGGCCACGAATAAGTCCCCCGACCGAAATCTGAGGAACGGCCCGAAATACAGAGCCCCTCTGGAGCCCAAAGTGGTCCTTATTTCCGAGTCTTGGCTGTAGGATCGCGGGGTCGACTGTTCAAGCCCCGGCCGCAATCCAGATGGCGTCCCCTCCTGCTTCACGATGTCCCTGCCGACGTTCTGGTCGAAGTTGCCGAAGTCCACGCTGTCGAGAGCCTCGCTTGAACGCGGCCGCCAAGAGCGATGGCTGTTGCGGCTGGGGGCGTCAAAGGGACAGAGGGCGTCGCTGGGAGGTGGTCGAGCTAAAAATCTCGACAATGTCAACCTCAACAACTACGGTTCAATCTGAGGTGAGAAAAAATAATACGGAACGCTTTTGGGGGCCGGAGCTGCTGTAACTTTACGACCGGGATGCGCGCGGGCCGAGGCAACTAACCAGTCAACCCTTGCAGATCGGCTCGCCCGCGCATGAATTCCCCGCGGCCAACCATTGTCAACATTGACCTCAAAGGTTGTTGACGCGCCCCAGCAACGTCGCCTCCGTTCGCCCCAGCGACACCGCCCCCCTCGATGTCGAGGCAGGACGAATCGCGGTCTGTGCCCCGACGCGACTCGAAAGTTCCACGACGACCGACATTGGAGAGGGGGCGTAAACAAGTACGTTCTGCGCAAGGCAACCTTCACCCAGAACATGACATATAATATATACATATATATATAGTAGCTCAACGCGCAACGTACTTTTGAGGTTGATTTGGTCGAGGGCAGTAATACGTCCACGCGCTCATTTACAACCGCGCTCTTTCGGGCAGAGGTCGGCCGTCCCGCAGGGTAGTCGCTGATGGGGAGGCGCACCTTGACGCGTCTCTCAGTTCGACTTGAGACGGTGAAGGTGGGCTAACACGTCCTTGCCGCTGGCAATCTGGCAGAGCCGAGACCCTGGGTTCATCGTTCGACGGTTTCCGCCTGCTGCTCGACCTGCATCGGTGCTTAGAACTCTCCATCCTAATTTTGATCTCTCCGAATTTCCTCCACCTTCGCATGTACACCTTCCGCGTTTCCGAAATGCAAGTGTCTCCCAAGGAGTGTCGACTGCCGACCCCGCGATCCATGAAAGGGATAGTCATGTCCAGCGCACGCTTCAGATATGTTTCGCTCACTAAGCCTTTTCCTTCAAGCATTCGTTTGACTACGAGGCCCAAAGCGCCCCCGTGCGAGCAACAAGGCGGGTGGCCATTTCATCCCGAGGCCGCACTGCCAAACGAAAGGAGATGAGCGGGCAAACACAATGCAGGATACGGTTGGGGGCGTTGGATAAGGAACCCTTAGATAAGGAATCCAGGGTCTGGAGGCCGGTGGAACTCCAATCGAGGATCGGCCTAATATATCACCACCGCCCCCGTTGGATAAGGAATCCCCAGAGGTCTACAGCATCTTCGGCACATTCCTTAACGACCGCCCCCACCATACATCAACTCGACAGCTGCCCGACAGTTTCTTCAAGGCACCGCGCTACAGTAAAACTCGTTTTCTGGGCCGCCTCCAGCCGCGGCGACGAATGGGTCCCCGGGGACGGAGTCACACACGAGCTGCTTACCAGCCTGGAACATATATGCTGGGCATCTCCACATCACGATGCAAATCTTAGGGATTCCCTTATATTTTGAGGGCGCATCCCTAAGATTGTCATCGCCTTTTGGCGCGTCAACCTTAAGAATAGGGATAAGTTTGAGGCTGGTGAACTGCAGAAACGTATACTTTCGGAGGTCCGTGCGGATGTCTTGCAATCGGCGCTCGACCCCCCTGGCGGCGCCGTTGGCGCCGCCTCTAGCGCGCTCCGCGCGCCAGGAAATGGGGGTCGAACGCTGATCCAAAAAAAACCGCGCAGACCCCAAAAATGCATGTTCATGCCGATGTTCTTCTTTCGGAGGGGGTCAGCGGCGCTGCCCCGGCTCTGGACGGGACCCGCCCATCATATCAGGGGTGCAAGTGTCCGGCGACTGGATGCCACTTTGCCGCACACACGGCGCTCGCTTCTGATGGCGAACATCTCCGATCGATTGGTCGCAGTCAGACCCCCGGATTTCCTGTCCGCTGCAGGAGGGCCCGATCATGGCAACTGGTTGGCGGCGAGCGAGGGGGGGAGGTGAGAAGGGGCGGGGCTTCTCAGAAGGCTCGGAAGTCCCCCAGCCTTCTGAGAAGTTTTCTCAGCCTTCCCCGAAGACACAAGAAACCTCTCAGAAGGCGCGAGGGCTTCTGAGAAGTCCCGCCGCCTTCTGAGAAGGCCTTCTCCTTCTCCCTTCCCCCCCTCGCTCGCCGCCGCACTGGAGCCAAGACCCTGGAGCCTGCCGAGCCGCAACCGCCGGGCGAAAACGAAACCGAACGGCACACACGGGGCTCCGCAAACCCTACGTCCAACACTATTGAGGCCTTACGCCTAATCCCGCCGCCTTCCTTGAGCAGGGACCGACGGCCCCGGCATTCCCACAGGCCTACCACGAAATGTTCTCAGAACCAAACAATGGTTGAATAACAACAGTAGCATTATTGGAACATAAAGCCGATGCGCACAAACAAGACAATCTCAATCAGAAATGTTCCGAAAGCATGTCGTGCGAAGCGCAAAAACGTTCTCATAACATTCTCTGGTGGGCCTGTTGGCGAGACAAAACGCTTCGCCACTGCTTGAGATCCCGCCGCCTTCCGCCGACCGTCCTCCGGCGGGCCTGGCGCCTCTACGCCTGCGCCGATCTTCCACCGAGGGCCAAATGTACCGAAGGCCAGGCCCTTCCCTGATGTCCGCGGCCGTGACTACTTTGCAACGTGGCTCCCCATAGGCCGGGACCCCTTCCAGCGGCAGCCTGAGTTAGAGGCCTCCCAGATGGGGTTCGAGTAGATGGGGTCGGAGGATCGCGCCACATCGCCGATGCATCGGCAATACATCGACAATACATCAGCAATGCATCTGCGACGTCGGCGGTGCATCGGCGACGCCTGCGAGGATAAAACTGGGCCCCACATCGAGCCGCATCGCCGATGCATCGCCGATGTATCGGCGATGCGGCGCGATCCTCCGACCTCATCCTACTCCGACCCCATCTGGGAGGCGTAGAGCACCCCTTCCGATGGCAGCCTGAATGGGTCCTGCCGTCAGCCCAAGTGCCCGGTGAGGGCCCCCGGAAGCCGGACACTGTCACAGGCCCTGCGTCGTGACTTCTCCACATCGCGAGGGCGTCAAGCTTGCAGGCACGACCCCATCATGCACCTCCCACTCGCCCCGCCTCGGAGCGCAGCGGACGTGCCCGGCCTTGGAGGCGTACAGCAGCGCCGTGCCGCCCCCCGGGACGATGCCCTCCTCGACGGCGGCCCTCGTGGCGTTGAGCGCGTCGTTGAGGCGGTCCTGCACAAGGGGCCCCTCCGCCCGGACCGCTCCCCCGACGGCCGGGCTCCGCCGCGCCGCGGCCGGCCCTCCTCCGCACCTCCGCGAGCCCGCGGGGCCCCCCTTGCCGCCGGCCCACCTAACTGGAGGTGGCCCTCCGCCGATGGCGGGGCCGAGCGCTCGCGGCGGCGGGGGCCGACGAGCGGCAGCGCTGCTGCAAGAGGCGGCGGCGAGAGCCGAAGCTGGGCGCCACGCCGGCGGATCGCGGCGCCAAGCAGGGAGTCTGCTGCCGACAGATCCCCGACGTGCCGCCAGGTCCGCGCCCCCGCTGCGTGACGGAGTTGGGCGCTCGGGAAGTGGAGTTTTTCGCTGAATACCGGACAAGGGCCCAGAGAGAGAGAAGGGGAGCCACAACGGCAGATCGCACAACTCTGGGCACAAAATAGGCGACGGTCGCTCTATTGCTGTGAAGGGAAGGGCGAGGTAGTGGCCGAGGGTTTCGGGAGAGGGAGGAGGGCACTGCTGTCCCAGCGCATCTTCCTTCGGATCCTGCACCACTTCAACTGCAATCGCATGCAAATCAACGAGTTTACGCACCCTGTGATACCGACTTGGTAGGTCTAAACGGAACTCGCAAGCCTGGCAATGCCCGAGTAAGGGCACGGCGCATGTGGGGTTGGGGAGGGGCGAGAGGGGGCGAGCTGTCCAATCCCACCGCCCTTCGAACACTGCAAACCTGCAGTTGTCGTCTCATGCAATCCAACAAAAACAACAACCCGTGTGACACTCACTCCTAACACAACTACATGGGCTCGGGCTCCGAGCACCAAGATCTACTGGCGAAGACTCAACGCAAGTTCTGAAGCAATCGACGGGGACATGCGCGCTGGTGAACAATTATGATGTGGAGCGAGGATGAAAGTGATGATGATGATGATGGTGGTGGTGATGATGATGATGCTGATGATGATGATGATGAATCGAATGAGAACAAGCAAGGCTGTGCAGGCAAACCATCTAGGACGAACGCAAGCAGGCTAGCATGCACTATTCAGACCAAGCTGGAACCGCAAGCTAACACGATAACACCAATATGGAAGCAGCAGCTCACAATGACGGGAACAGGGACGTCTGCAGCATGCGTGCACCAGGAGGCAAGCACAGACACGCACGAGCGATACAAGACTCGATCAGGAAGGCCACCGACCACCAACAAGCCAGCAAGGAAGCGAGCGAGGAGGACGAAGGAGAAGGCGGCGCGATCCCACAGCTCCTCCATGTGACTGCATTCGAAAAATTAACCTGCATACAATCATCGTGCTACCATACGGAACGCATACTTAGGAACGAAGGGGCTTTTCTGGCCATGGCAGACCTAGGCCGCAAACAGGTTCCACGACATACATCTAAAGAAGCGGCCCGAAAACCATAGCCCCTCCTGACCCTAAAAAAGGAATACCTTCAGGGTCCTGTTTGTAGCATGAGAAAGAGGGTCCCGAGGAAAACGTGCCCTGGACCCCGGAGCCTTTCCCCGGGACGACTTTTCTATCCTGAGCCCTTTCCTGACAGCCCCGGAGCCCGTGGAGGGCCCCGAAAGCGCGAAAACAGAGAAACACCTCGGGACCCGATTCCCTCAGGACCCGTCTCCCCCATTGAAGGGGCCCTGGGACACACAAATAAATACACACAAATAAAAAGGATTCCCATATTTTACCATATTTTCTGGGTTTTTGTCTTCCCAACCACTTCCCAGATTCTCCCATATATTTTCTGGGGGATCGGAGATTAATTGTGTCTGTGTGTTTCTTTTCCTCCTGACCCATGGCGATGTATGTGACAGAAACTCTCGGAGCTCCGCGCAGAGTCTCGGCCACACGCAAGAGTGACTCTAGGCAACACTGACCTTTGTTGCGCGGGCTAGCGGGGCGCAGGGTGGCCAAACGCAAGCGCGCAAGCAGCCACCATCGCATCGCGCTCAGCGATCGGGGGGGCCCCGGTGAGCCCGCACCAAAGGTCACTCCGGCGAAGGGTCACTCTTGTGTCTAGTCGAGGGTCGAGGGTCGAGGTTCGAGGGCCCAGGATCGAGGGGCGAGGTTCGAGGGTCCAGGATCGAGGACAGAGGGCCGAGGGTCGAGGATGAAGGACAGAGGGTCGAAGATCGAGGGTCGAGGACCGAGGCAGGAGCGGGGGTCGAGGATCGAGGGTCGAGGATCGAGGACTGGGGGGTCGATGATCGAGGACAGGGGATGGGGGATCGAGGATCGAGGGTCGGCGTTCGAAGCTCGGTGGCTCGAGGGCTTTCTCCCTTCCATCATTGAAGGGGCCCCAGGACACACAAATAAATACACACAAATAAAAAGATTCCCCATATTTTCCGATATTTTCTGGGTTTTTGTCTTCCCCCCCACTCCCCATATTTTCCTATATTTTCCTGGGAGTCGACGATTAATTGTGTCTGTGTGTTTTTTCCCCTCCTGAATCATGCCCACTCAAAGCGCAGAGGAGGAACGAGCTGCAGAGACATCAGCACTTTCGGAGGTCGGCGCAGAGTTCCCGGACCGGAGCTGGCGCCCCCCCTCCCTGGCGCGCGGAGCGCGCCAGGGGCGACGCCGGAGGCGCCGCCAGGAGGGCCCAGCGCAGATCCAAGAACTCCGCGCGGGCCGTCCAAAATGTATCTTTGTGCTGTTCCTTCTCCCCCTCTGCTTTGAGCTCCGCGCAGATTCTCTGGACCAGCGCTGGGCCCCGTGGCCCGGGCGCGCGGGTAGCATTGCCATAGGGGCGACGCGCCAGAAGGGGGGGGGCGGAGAGAAGGGGGCCCCAAGAGCGGCGCCGATGCAAGAAGTGCCCGCGCGGAGCCTCGAAGAATCTTGCGAGATTGCGGCCGGACCTACGGTAGGAAACAACTTACCGAACCCTTACCCTCCTAAGACGAAACCAGGGCGAAGACAATTTCGGGGGTGGATAAATCGAGACTCTCTCAGATCCAGCGGCTCTGGAGGATGTCCCGGGCGCCGCGAAGACGAGGCCACAAAGAAAACATCGGGTAAGGATAAATCGGGAATCTCTGAAATCCTGCGGCTCTGGAATACGTCTCGGGCGTCGCGGCCTTCTCAGAAAGTTCTGGAGCGCTGTTTCGGAACGCTCTGAGAGCGTTACAGAACTTAGCTGCCCCGATACGCAACACGCAACACGTAGCGTGTTGATACGGACCTCAACACGTAGACTGGAAACGTAGGTATGGCGCGATACGATCGCCAACATGTGAGCCAACACGGGCGTTTCAAGACGGGCGTATCAGGGCAGCTGAGTTGCCGAGCGCTCCTCCTGCCCCCCAAACTTACAAGTTGGCACGCGCGAAGGAGACTACGTTCGAAGTACAACTCATCGGACCCACCGCCAACTCTGGACATTGGGGGGATGGGGAAGCGCTGACAGATGAATGCGGCACGAGTAGTCGCTATTCTTCCAAGGCCTGTAAGACAGACAACAATTCTTCAGGAACGTGAAGTCCTCCGCTGGCCAAGCCGAAGAACATTCGGGGGGCACCCTCCCTCTGGGTGCACAGGAGCCTTCGACAGACACGCAGAACATTGTCAGGGTGCCCTCCCCGAACCCACATCGATCTGGCAACTCGGCCCGACCGTACGCACCGACGAGATGCCATGCTGTGGGGACGACGACGCGCAGGACGACGACGATCTCTCAGGGCCCGTGCAGTCGCTCCTTCACCTCCTGCACTTCCACCTCCGAGGCGCCGCCCACCTTGATCACCGCCACGCCGCCTTCGGGACGCTCGGAGACCAAACGGGTGCTCCAACAAAAAACGCGACGACGACGACGCCGACGCCGCCGCCGCCGACGACGACGTCCGCCACCGCAAGCAGTAAATGCGGGGTTCTCCAACGAAAAGCGCTGCTCAGCAGAGGCGCTATTCTGCGGCCGGCTCCGGAGCAGCAAGGCTCCAGCTCCTCGTCCTCCTCCTCCTCTGCGTGCTCCTGCCTCCCCCTCTCCCTCTCACCCCCCCCCCTCAACCCAATCTCAACGGACACGCCACTTACTTCCCTCCTCCTTCCCTCCGCCTCCTCCTCCTCCTCTTCCTCCTCCTCCACTGTCTCCTTCCCTCCTTTCCCTCCTCACTTCCTCGTTCCCTCCTCCTCCTCCTCCTCCTCCACCTCCTCCTCCTCCTCCTCCTCCTCCTCCTCCTCGTGTCCTCCCCCCGAGGGCGGGCCACTTGCGGGAAGGGGAGGGCGTTCCTGCACTTACACCACGCCGGGCTCTGCGGCCTGTCTGCTTACCACACCAACCAAAACGATGGTTTCAAATATGCCCGACCATATCAATAAAGATCTCCGATAATACCCGTCGGTCGGAAGAAAAGGGTAGAACCATGAAGTATGCAGGCGTTGGAAGTAGATTGGCTGTCCGCCCACCCCGTGAGGACGAGGGAAGAGGGTAGACCACTCCACTCTTGAAGCACGTGGGAAGGCGCCAAAGTAGGTTGGGATTTGGGCATCGAGAAATCTGCCGACCCCGTCGGCGCGTGACAGAGGCTGTTCCGTCGCTATCGCCGTCGATGCCGCCGTCGCGTCGCCGCCGCCATCACGTCCCCTCCTCCCCCTGAGTCCGTCGCCGCTCTTCTCCTTTCCTTGGGCCCTCGTCCTCAAGCACAACTGCCAAAGCGAAATACACCAACCAACGTTGTCATTGAGTCGAAGGGAAGCACCTTCCCTTTGATCCCTTCCCCGCGGAGAGGGGAGGAGGGCGGGGTGTCCCAGGTAAGGGGGGGTCCCGGGGAGGTCCCGAGGGGTGGTCCTGGGTCAGAATGCCACCCTCCCGGGGCCCATGGCCCGCCCTCTCCCTCCCACTTCCGTCGAGGGTTGTGGAGATTTCCGCCACAAGACACTGAGCACTACGACGCAGCGCTCAAATTCTGACCCTTTGGCTCCCCCGTCAGGAAATGCCTGAAAGCTTGGCCAACCGCTCCCGGAGCTTGTCCCGCTCGTACTCCGACGTGGTGTTCTCGACGGCCGCCTGGGGGGCTTCATCGACCCCGACGCCCACACCTTCCTAGACTTTTGCGTCGAGCGCGAGGAGGAAGGGGAGTGGGAAAGCAAATCATCCGCCGCCGCAGGGACCGAATGCAGCGTGACCATGCCCTCGTAGCCTGCCGTGTGGAATACTGTGACTACTGCTTCACGGCCCCAGGCCACCCGGCTCCTGAGATTCTTTGACGCTCCCAGGCGCTCCGAGGGGATGGGGCCTGTCATGGAGCGAGCCAGGGCGAGCACCCAGGCGTGTGCCGGGGGAGATGCCCGCTGGACTTTGGCCAGGGTGATCTGATCGGGGGGCTCCGCAGCGAACTTGCTCTGGCTTGTATGCTCTGGGGCCGTCGCGAGCGTGGCATACCCGCGGGTCATGTGCGGGGCGCCCTCTGCAAGCAGGACATCTGCGCCACGGGAGCGTGCTCAGCGACGTGCCCGGGGACGCGACGGGCACGTGCCGAGGAACGCGCCGCGGGGCCTGTCGAATGGGGCCCGCCAAGGGACGCGCCAGAGGAAGCACGAGGGGTGCGCCGGGCGTCGTGCAAAAGGGATGCGCCAGGAGACGTCCCAAGGGGGCGTGCCAGGGTGCCACCGTGAAGTTGTAAGAAGCCCCGGATGTCACCCCAAGACGCCCCCCCCGCCTCCTAAGAGGGGCCCAGGCGTCCCCGAAGACGGCCCCAACAGATGCAGAACGGATGCGCCCAAAACCCTCCGGCGCGCCCACAGATCCACCTTCGGTGTGCCTCCAGGAGGCCCCGAGAGAGCCCCAGGAGGCCAACGAGAGGCGTCAGAGAGGCAGCCAGGAGGACCCCCAAGTATAACACGAAGGACCTGCAAGAGGCACCAGGTGGTCCACGATCCAGGCACGGTGCGAAGAGAAGCGGACCTGCCGGATCGCTGGCCCGGGGGCTCCCGCGGGCGCGACCGCCATGGGGGCTCCCCGGGCCTGCCATGGGCCTCCTGGGGCGCCCCGGGCGGGCGAGAGGGGCCGCGGAGGCAGGGCAGGGACGGGGAGGGGGCGGAAGGAGGGGCAGGGCGGAGGGGGAAGGAGCCGGGGCCGCAGAGACAGGGCGAAGGGCGACGGGGGAAATCCAGGAACACACACACACTCACACACGCACGCACACCCACACACACACAAACACACACGCACGCAGACACACAGACACACAGACACACAAACACACACACAGAGACTCTGACACACACACACACAGACACATAGACACACACACACACAGACACACGGACACACAGACACAACACACACACAACTACACACAACCACACACATTCACACAACTGCACACAACCACACACAACCACACACACAAACACCTACACACCCACACACCTACACACCCACACACCCACAAGCACGCACATAAGCACACACAGACAAGCAGACACACAAACACGCAGACGCACACACACACACTATCACACTCAAGCCTCTCTCTCTCTGTCTCTCTCTCTCTCTCCCCCTCTGCGTGTGTATATATATATATATATATATATAGATTCCTCTTCCTCTATTGTTATAAGCCTGGGCGGAGGGACCCCCCCCCACACAGAAAAAAACGGACTCCCGGGATCTGGGGCTTTGAGACCCTCCAGACGGGCCTCAAAGCGGCCCCCCGGGCCTCGCAAAGCCTTCCCAGCACACCTAGGGCAATCAGGGGAGTCATCGGAGACGTCCCAGAGACCCCCAGGACGGCACAAGAGCGCTCCAAGAGTGACCGACGTGACCTCAAGATGGCCCAAGAGGCCTCCAGGACGGCCCCAAAGAAGCCTCCAAGAGCACTCCCAAGAAGGTCCCAAGAGGCAAAAATCATTGATTTTCTGTTGGTTTTTGGTGAATTTGGGGGTTCTCCTCTTTTCGGCTTCCCGACGCTCCAAGACGGCGCTCTTCTGGGCGTCCGAAACCGCCTGGGAGGCTCCCAAATCGCCCCACAACCATCCGAAAGGGCTTACAGGCAGTCCAAGAGAGCCCCCAAACGGCACAACACGGGTCCAAAATGGCCGTCAGAGAGCCCCATGGCGGCCCAAGATGGCCCCAAGATGCCCTCCGAAGCATTCCAAATCGTGACCCGATCGTTCAGGGAGACTGCGGTTGGAGGCAGGGTGGCCCGAGGAAGCCCCCAGAGGCCCCCAGAATAAGCCCAGGAGGCCTCCAGACAGCCTTAAGAAAGCCTGAAACAGCTTTTGTAAGGCCCCCAGAGGCTCTCCAAGGGGGAGCCTCCGCAAAAAAGAGCAGAGGAGGATGGGGAGAATGCGCAGGGTATGGCGAAAATGAAGAAAAATAAGCATGGAGGAAGGACAACGAATAACATTATTATAGCGGCGATGCCAGACAAGGCAACAAGGAGTTATCACTAAATTGTCGGCTTGGCCTTCCTGCTATTCCGCCTGCGTGCCAAGCTTCAAGGATCAAGGTGCATGGCGCGAAGCGCCACTGCAGTCTTGTATAGTATATATAGATATAGATATGTACGTCTATGTATAGGTATGTATGTGTATATATATATATATAGATAGATAGATCCACCACCGTGCCCCTGTGGCACGTCATGGGGTGCCCCCAGGTCTCTTACCCAACCCCTGAGCCTGAGTTCCAATCCTCAAGATTCTCTAGAAAAAGGCCCCTGACCCTAGCTTCCAAATCTTCTTTTGGGCATCCGGCGTGCCCCTCGCGGCGCCTGGCGTATCTCTTCGCGCCTTCCCGCGTGACTTCTTGGGGCCCAAGAGGGCCCCAAAAGGAGCCAAGGGCGCCCCAAGAGGCCCCCAAGATGGTCCGCGAGGGCTACACGTCGCCGCACAGTCGGTCCAAGATGCCCAGAATGGCCCCAAGACGGCCCAAGCAGCTTTCGAGGCGCCCAAGGAGAGTTCCAAGAGCCTTCGCAAGAGGGCCCAGAGAGGCCAAACTCATTGATTTCCCGACGTGTTGATTCCCCCCCAACTTTTTTGGGTCCTCGACTTTTCGAGCTTCCGACGCTTCAAGACGGCCCAAGAGGCTCCGACGACCGCCTCAAGAGGCCCCCCCAAAGGCCACAAGACGGCCCCAGAGGGCTTCAAGACGGCCTCAAAGACGCCGAAGACAGCGCAAGAGAGCAGAAAGGCAGCCCAAAAAAGGGCTCAAGATGAGGAACACGAACCGAAAATCCGAGGCGTTCGCCCCAAAGGCCCCCAAGAGCCCCTAAGACACCCAGAGTGGCCCGCAAGAGGACCCCAAGACGCCCTAAGAGGCCTCAAAAGGGCTCCCAAAAGGCCCCTCACGACATCCCAACGAACATCCTAGGCGCCTATAACCCATAACCCAGGCACGGTGGCCGTATGGGCCGAAGGCCTTTGCAGCTACATTAGTGTGATGTATTCATAGAACACCTACCTGGCACAACTCCGGGTCCGTCCAAGGAGCCTGATTCCAGAGCGCCCCAGGAGGGCCCAAGACGGCCCCAGATGGCCCCAAGACGGCCCGGGGGGGGGCCCAGGAGGCCTCAGGAGGGCCCGACGAGCGCCCCATACGGCCACGATGTGCCCAAGATGGCCACTCCCCGGCCCAACAAGCTCCCCTGAATGGCCCAAACGGGCTCCCCAGATGGCCCAAGGGGGGCCGAAGACGACTCCCAAGAGGCCCCTGGGAGGCAAAAGTTATTGGTTTTTCTCAGGCTTCGGTGCAATAGTCGCATACTCGGCTTCTCGGTCTCGAGAACGCCCGAGACGGCCGAAGAGGCCCCCAAGATCGCTGCAAAATGGCCCAAGATGTCACCAATACGAACCCAGGACGGCCCAAGAGGGACCCAAGACGGCCCCAAGACGCTCCAAAAGGGCCCTCAGAGAGGCTCCAGACGGCCCAAGGAGGCCTCAAGACAGCCCAACTGGGCCCCAAGACCGCCCCAGAGCAGCACCAAGAGGCTCCCAAGACGGCCCAGAAGGCCCCCAAGACGGCGTGAAAACGGCTTCAAGAGAGCCCGTAGAAGGCCCACCTGGGACCCTGCATTAGTACGGCGACGGTCAGACAAACAATATACAGATGTATGTCTGTATGTACACACATATATATATAAATATATGTATGTATGTATGTATATATATATGTATATATACATGTGCAGATATACACATTAATACATCAATGTGTACATGCATACATACATACACACACATACATATGTATATACATATATATATGTATATATACGTATACATACACATATGCGTATACATATACAAATGCATATAATACAACCATCGCGCGCGCTTCGCGCGCGCGCTCAAGTTCTAGCGAGCTTCTTGGGGCCTCCTCGGAGCATCCTGGACTGCTTCTTGAAGTCGTCATGGGACCTTTTTGGCATGTCTTCGGGGTCCTTTTAGACAGAGTGTTGACGCCTTTTGGGTGCCGTCTTGGGGCCTCTTGGAGCCACTTTTGGGCTTCTTGGGGGCCTCTTGGGGCCTCTTGGGGGCCTCTTGGGGCCTTTTGGGGGCTTCCTGGGGGCATCTTGGAGCCTCTTGGGGGCATCTTGGGGCGGAGATCTTGATTTTTCGGTTCGCGTTCCCTCTCTTGGGCCCCCTCTGGGGCCTTCTTGGGACCCTCTTGCGCCGTCTTGGGCAGCTCTGGGGCCGTCTCGGGGCTCTCTCGGGCCGTCTTGGGGTTCTCTTGGGGGCCTCTTGGGCCGTCTTGGAGCGGTTTCGGAAGCCTCTTGGGCGGTGCTTTAGCGCCGGAAACACGAAACAGCGAGAATGCACAAATATTTAAAAAATTAACAAAATCAGCGATTTTGCCCTCTCCGGGATCTCTTGGGCGGCATCTTAAAGGACTCTTGGGGCGTCTTGGGGGCCTCCGGGGCATTTTAAAACGCATCGTGCGTCGCCAGAGACCCCACACATATAAACATGTGTACATGTATGTCGATCTCTGTGTCTTTATACACTGTTACAGGGAACGAATTTCAACCACCCCAGGCGCCCAATGCGGCTCCAAAGAGGTGCAATATGGCTCCAAGACGGCCCAAGGGCGCTCCAAGACGGATTTCTGATGGCTCTACGACAAGTCAAGACACGACCGGAGCGCCACATAAGCCCCCCAAGTAGCTCCAAGATCCAAGACCGTCCAAGAGGCCCCCCCAGAAGGCCCCGAAGAACCGCAAGATAATGCAAAATTAGCCAAAATCGCTCAATCGTTCCACTCCTTCAATAAAACGTAAATTTTCAGCCACCCTCGCTTTTTTGTACAAGTCTCCAGAACGGTTCAAGAGGCCCCCCAAATCACCCTTAAACGGATCCAGAGGCCCCCACAAAGCCCCAACACGGCCCAAAGATAGCCCCAGAGAGCCCCACGACGGCCCAAGGTAGCCCCAAGACGGCCCACGAGAGCCCCGAGACGGCCCCAAGAGGCTTCCAAGAAAACCCGAAGATAGCTCCGAGAAGCCCCCAGCTGCGCCCCAGGACGGCCAGACCCCCCCGAGACAGCCCACAAGGGCCACCAAACGGTCCAAAATGGCTCCACGACGGTCCAGAAGGGCCCCGAAGGGAACCCGGAAGCGCCCAATAACAGGGACTCGTCTGCCACTCGGTTCGAGCTTCCCCCTCCTGTGCCCACGCCCGCTCCAAAGCTGGGGCCCCGAGGGGACGGCGGACTCGGACCTATTAGTTGCATGCCTACACATGCGGTTTGTCTGGATGTCCCATCATGCGGATGGACCGGCATCCTCATCTTGCATGATGTTTGACTTGGTTATCCCACAAGTGGTGCTGTCTGGCTCTTCAATCGGAAGATGAGATGTCGCTCTTCACTTGCAACTTGAAATGCCTGTGTGAGTGCCTGCGGACAATTAGACTTGTCGCACCTTGCGTCGCATAAACTGGGAGGCGGGTTCAGGACTGCGCCCAGGGAAGCGCTGGAGGATCAAAACAGCTTCTACTAGAACTCAGCAGGCACTCAAAGATCACCAAACGCCCTAAAAAACTCTCGCGAGATTCACGGAAAGTCATCAAAAGAGGATGCCACGCAATAAACTCTGAAACTGGTAACAAGGACGCGTTCGCAAATGACGGGAAAACTGACGAGGAAGCATGAAGGACAGGTGATGTATAACATATTCGTAATAACGGTGGTGCTCACTGCAGAAAGGAGCCTTCCTCCTTTTGGGTGTTCTCTCTCTTGCGCTCTCTCTCGCTCTCTCTCTCTCTCTGTCTCTCTCTCTCTCTCTCTATCCCGCGCCCCGCCTGCCGCCTGCCGCCGGACCTGACAGGCCACGGTGCATGGCGCGAAGCGCCAATGCAGTCTTAGATACATTGTACATAAGTTTCAGAGGCTTGCTACGCTGCGCCGTTGACTCCTTGATCCGTTCGGTTGATCCGCTGGTGGACGATACTGGGAGCCTGCGGAACCAGCTTGGCACAGCAGGCGGGATTGAAGCGCAAGAAAAGGGTATGGGCTGGGGGGCAGCAGGGAGGGCGACCCGGACGATGGCAAGAGAACCGGTGATGAGTGATGATCCTAGGGCTCCGACGTCGTGTTTTTTAAATGCTGGAGTTTCTTCGGCGCTTTCGGGCTGCAGAAATCTGTAAAAAGGGCGACAGGATGCGCGAGCGAGCAACGGAGCAGAAGAGACATGCAACGATCCGCGGGAGCTCTCGGAAGCGCTGGAAAGACACATAGACAATTCCGTCGACTTACGGGCTCCAAAAAGCTTTAGCAGTCTGAAAGAAACTCTAGAGGCACCCCTACAGGGGCCTCCAGACAGGGGCTCGAAAGGGACTTAAGAAGGCTTCTGGGAGATTCTAGCATGCGTGGCTAGAAAATGCCTCTAGAGGGTCCATTTTGCCAGCCTGAAACTTCAAACGGATTCATTTGCATCTGTAGATGTATATATGTACATGAAAATTGTATGTGTAGATGTCTATGGGCATGTGTCTGTAGATGTATATGCGAATGCGAACGGAAATGTTCATGCATTTGTATACGTGAATGTATATGAAGGTGTGTATATCGGTATACCGATGCAGACTTATGGGTATGTGTATAGATGGATGTACAAACATAAACGGGTTGTAGATGTCAAGTGTATGTGTAGAGTACTATGTATATATGTACACGCAAACATGTCTGTATGTGTATCCATATGTGTGTATGTATTCATGTACGTATGTGCATGTGTTTATGCATATGCCTGTACCTATGTATATGCATGTGTACATGCATATGCAGATTTATGTGTATGCTGACATGTACACGCATGTGAATGTGTATGTGCACGCGTATTGGTATGCGTGCATGCGTGCATTCATGCGCTCCTGCTGGCACATTTGTGTGCAGATATTTACAGATACAGGACTGGTTTCGGACGTTCGTGCCATGAACACACGGCGTGTGCTGCCTGGCAAGGTCTCTGTAGGCTCCGAGGGGGCCCCACGCCCTCCGTCTCACACCCAGCCGACCGCACCCCCCTTGCTCCCGAGGGCCCCTCGGCGGTCGTGGCGCCTCCCTGGCGCTCTCCAACGCGTCCAAGACGCTCAAGGTGGCCTCCGAGAGGGACCTGGCAGGCCACCAAAGCCGCCACGGTGGTCCAGGTGGCCTCCGCGGACGGCTTCAGATGGCCCAAAATGCCCACGAGACAGCCAAGCAAAGAGGCCTCCAAGACGGCCCAAGAGGGCTCCGATATTGCCTCCAACACAGCCCGAACAAGCCAACAACGTTGATTTTCAATTGGCTTTTGAGGGCTGTTCGTGTTCTCACCGTTTTGAGCTTCGTCGGCTCAAGACAGCCCAAGAAGCCTCCAAAATTGCCTTAAGACGTCCCAAGATGGCACCAAGAGGGCCTCAATACGGCTCAAGATAGTGTTAAGACGACCCAAGAACGGCCCAAGAGGATCCCAGGTCGGTGCAAGAAGGCGCTCAGACGGCCCTCAAGGCCCCCAAGAGAGCCCAAAGACGATCCAGAGAGCCCCCCAAGATGGACTCTGAAAGCGTCCATACGGCCCAAGAGCGCCCTCAGACGGCCCGAGGGAGCTTCCAAGAGCCCCCGAGGCGCCCCCAAAGCGCTGCCAGGAGGCCCCACGAGGCCCCCAAGAACCCCTCAAGCGGCCCCCAAAACCTTCAAAAGGTCCGAAGTGTCACACGTGACGGCCTCCCATGCCCACTCGAACAGTGGCCACCCAACATGCTGGACTGGCACGGTGGCGGGAGGAGGAGGAAGAGGAGGAGGAGGAGGAGGAGGACTTCATCCTGGAGATCCCCGAAGATCGCGACGGAGGGGAACCGCCTGAATCTGCTCGCAACGCTCCTTGATAGCGTCCTGGCCGCCAGCGCCGTCGAGGACGACGGTATCATCCTGGCGCCAGAGGGGCGCGCCGCGACTGCGCTGCGACCGCTCGCCCGAGCTATGGAGAAACCAGGACGAGGATGAATTCGGGTAAGGATAAATCGAGAATCTCTGAGATCTGGCGGCTCGGGAGGATGTCTCGGGTGCCGCGGCCTTCTCAGAACGTTCGGGAACGCACTGAAAGCGTTCCGGAGCGCCCTGGAACGGAAATGATTTAGCCTCGCCCTAGCCCCGTCAGATGAGCTCTGGCCCTGCCACCGAGCCAGTGCCGGGTCGGACGAGAAGGGAGTAACCAGCCTCGAACCTATACTCCCTATCCCTAAAGATGGGCGAGCATAAAGCGAGGACAATCTTGACAGTCTTAGGGATGTGCCCTCAGAAACTGAGGGAATCCTTAAGATCGGCATCGAGGTGAGGTGATGCCAAGCACAGGGACAGGGGTATGCTTCAAACTGGGAAGGGGGGGGAGGTTTGGCGAACCAACTCTTGAAGCTGACTTGACCTGGGCCTCCCGGCCTGCCTCGCAGGTCCAGGTCTGGACCTGGTGCCCCGGGCCCCCCCAGGTCCAGATCTGGACCTGGGGGGTCACAGGGATCCGAGGGTCACAGGAACACAGGAGGTCCCAGGGAGTCACAAGGACCACAGGGGGGAGCCGGTCGGTCACAAGAGCCCACTGGGGCCACAAGGACACGCTCACCACGCCTGCGACCCGTGCGACTCCCCCATGGCCACTGCGACCCCCGAGGGGGCCCACATGGCCCTTCGACCCCTGTGACACGGGAGTCACAAGGGCCACGAGGTGTCGCAAGGGTCTCGAGGTGTCGCAAGGGTCGCAGGGGAAAACGGGCTACAGTCAAAAACCCTAACAAGGACGCGCGGCAAGGACGCAAGACCCTTGGAAGCGGGCAAGCGAAAGAGGCCAAGGACGAGCCGCAAGCGCAAGGAAGAGCAAGGACGCAAGGGTATCCTGAGCAAAGCCGCGCGTCCATATTGGGGTTTTTGACTGCACGAGGCGTCGCAAGGGTCGCAAGACCCACAAGGGCCACAAGGGGTCACAGGCCCGGGAGGCGCCAGGCCGTGGAGGAAAGGCGGCGGGGCCGGAGCCTGCTGCATGCCGCAGGTCTCGCAGGGCCCAGGCGCTGCAAGCAGAGGACCGCTGTGGGCTCGGGAGGGGGTCGCTGTTGCCTTGGGCATTCCGTGGCTGCTCCTCTACACCCTGCGAAATGCTTAAAAAATCATGGGTTCAGAAATTCATAGTCTCAGAACTTGAGTAGAAGCCCAGAATTTCCATCGAAATCTTAGGATGCACATGGAAACATTAAGAATAATCGAGACTCTGGCCGAAAACTTGGGTTTTCTTAACCATCGCCTAAGGTGTAGCCCTCCTCGTGGGCCTGCAGGATCTTCAAAAGCGGGCTCGAGACGCAGAACCGGCCCCGGGGAAGGAAGGCCCAGACCTGTGGCCTGGGGAGACGAGGTGAGCAGAAGTTCACGACGTCGGACGTCTTGGGCTGATTGAGCAGGGACCGACCGTTCCGGCAGTCCTATAGGCCTGCCACCGCATGTTCTGGGAACCAGATGATGTTGTGAGGGCAACAGGAGGTTCTTAGATCACAGAGCCGACCTGTCTAGATAAGACGGCCTCAGCAAGACATGCTCTGAGAACAGTTCGTGCAAGCCACAAGCGCCTAGAGGGAAGCCAGGACGCTTCGCCACTGCTCGAGTTTAGATTCAGGCAGATTGACCTACATGTCGGCTACACGCAGGCGTGACCCTGGGTAAGAGTGGTAAGAGTGGCCTTAGGTGCGCGGCTTTCTGGGGGCCGCGGGGGGGGGGGGGGGGGGGGGCAAACACAAGCGGGCAATACGCTAATTACCTATGCGACCACCCTTCGGGTGATAAGGAGGTTCGGGGGGGGAGGAACCAACGTCTCACTCGATGGGTCTCACTATCGATCTCACTATCGATCTCACTATCGGTCTCGCTCGATCGATCTCACTCGATCGATCTCACAATCGATCTCACTCGAGCTATTTCATTCGATCGATCTCACACTCGATCTGACTATCGGTCTCACAATCGATCTCAGTATCGATCTCACTATCGATCACACAATCGATCTCACATTCGGTCTCACTATCCATCTCACTATCGATATCACAATCGATCTTCACAAGCAACGTCATCATCATCAACATCATCGTCATCAACGTCATCATCATCATCATCATCATCATCATCAACATCAACATCATCCTCATCATCGGGGCATCATCATCATCATGACCTCATCACCATCATCATCAACATCATAATAACCATCATCATCCTCATCATCATCATCGGGACACCATCATCGTCACCATCATCATCAGCAACATCATCATCATCATCATCATCATCATCATCATCATCATCATCATCATCGGGACACCATCAGCATCATCATGAGCATCGGAACACCACCACCATCATCATCATCCCATCAGCATCATCATGAACAACATCATCATCGTCATCGGGACACCATCATCATCACCACCATGGCCATCAGCATGAACATCATCATCGGAGACCATCATCATCGTCACCATCATCATCATCACCATCATCATCGGGACACCTTCATCACCATCAACATCCTGATCATCATCATCATCGGGCCACCATCATCAAAATCAGCACCATCATCACATCATCATCATCCTCATCATCAACATCATCATCGTAATCGGGACACCATCATCGTCATCATCATCAGCATCATCATAAGGACACCATCATCATCAGCATCATCATCATCATCAACAGCATCATCATCAGCCTCAGCATCACCATCATCATCGGGACACCATCATCATCATCTTCATCATCAGCAGCATCACCATCATCAACATCATCATCTCAGCATCATCCACATCGTCATGATCATCATCATCATCATCATCATCATCATCGTGACACCATCATCATCATCATCATCAGCAGCATCAGCATCATCATCGGGACACCATCATCATCACCACCATGGCCATCATCATCACCATCATCATCAACATCGTCAACATCATCATCATCATCATAATCATCATCATGATCAGCATCATTTGGCCACCATCATCATCACCACCATCACCATCACCATCACCATCATCATCATCATCATAATCATCGTCATCAATATCATGGACATCATCATCATCACCATCATTATCATCATCATCATCATCACCATCATCATCATCATCATCACCATCACCATCACCATCACCATCATCATCATCATCATCATCATCATCATCATCATCATCATCATCATCATCATCATCATCATCATCATCATCATCATCATGGTCATCATCATCATAATCATCATCATCATCACCATCATCATCATCATCATCATCATCATGATCGGGACACCGACGGGACACCGTCGGGACACCGCGCCGCACCGGCCCCTGGAAAGGAAACATTTGGTCCGGCCGCGCCTCAGCCGGAGGAGGGACACCCGCGCGGGACACCGCGCCCCACCGGCCCCCGGAAAGGAAACATTTGGTCCGGCCGCGCCTCAGCCAGAGGAGACTTTCTTCTCGCCCGCCCACGCAGCTTCGCCTCGCCCGCGCACACGGCACGCACGAGCACGAAACCGAAACCGATTTCCCGGAAGGGGGGCTCTCTGTTCCACTTCGATCTCACCCCCTCACCTCCGACTACCGCATCGCGTGCGGCGATCGGGGGACCCCAGTGGGCTCGCACCACAGGTCACTCACTCGAAGGGTCACTCATGCGCGCAGTCGAGCATGGCGCTGCCGCCCCCCCCGCCCCCCGCCGCCCCTCCCTCTCCTTCCCCCGCCGCCTCTGCCCGCAGCGCGGAGCCGAAGAGGCGCGCAGGCGACTGCCGACGCGCCCGAAGCCCAGATCTCCGTCTGGTCTGGGCCTCGCCGCGCCGCCCGCCCCCCCCCCCAAAGACCCCCTCGGGTCATGAAAACATCGCGACGGGCGGTTTTCCATTGTTTTCGGCTTCGTGGGGGGGGGGCACCGGGCCTCGGGACCGCCAAACAACTCGGGGATCTACGGCCCCCCGGTCAATCAAACCCTGGGTCAATCGGGCCTTGCAGGATCCTGCAAGATGCTGCAGGATCCTGCGCCCAAGCCCAGGTCAGTGCATCCCTGGCTCTGCCGGATCCTGCAGGACCTGGCGCTCGGAATGAGCCCCTTTCCCACTGACCCCCGCCCCGTGAGCCCCGCCAAAACGACCCGGGATGGAGGACCAGTCCTGGGCGGAGACCTGCGGAGGTCGATGTCTGACACATCATAGCGTCGGGGGCCTGGGCTCTCCCCACCCCCCTCCATGCAAACATACTCCAGATTTCGTAATAAAGGGAGGGGGGTCTCATTTCGGGGGGGTCTCTTCCAGGCTATCTTGGAGGGCCTGGGGGGGTCTGGGGACGATGTTTTGGAGGGTTCTCCCACGGGGGAGGTCTGAAATGGCTCGTCTTGGAGGGTCCAGACCCCCTCTCTTTTATTATACGAAATTTGGAGTACCTGCCGGAGTCCAACAAGAAGCGGCTCCGAACGCGGACCCCCCCCCCTGGAGGTCTCGACCCACTGCCCCAGGACCGGCGTCTCGCCCCGGGGTCCTTTCCCTGCGGGGCGGCCCATGGGCGCCGGCGAAGCCGCCCCGGAGGCCGAGGAGCGCCAAACACCTTCGGGCGCGACTTCCGCCACGGCTCGACGGGGTCTGGGGAGCCCTCCTGTTCAAAAAGGCCGGCCGGCCCCCCCTTCAGCAGCGCTTGACCACCGGGCCATGGTACCTCAGCCCCACCCTTCCACCCCCGCGGTTGAGGAGGGGCCTCTCGAGACCAGAAGTGAGCAGCCTGCATCCCCACCTAATGCGGGATGACGATGAATAACAGACATGGGAGAGAACGATTGAAAACATAGTTTTCTGCTACTTCTGCACAATTTTCTGCCTGGGGGAGAACGATTGAAAAACAGTTTTCCAGCCCGCGGCCAGTTTTTTCCAATCGTCATCCCGAGCGCCGCCGCGTGAAGACGACCCCCGGTCATTTATTAATCGTCATCCTCCATTAATAGGGGGGCACATCCTCCTCCTCCTCCTCCGAGGAGGAGGAGGAGGAGGAGGAGGACGAGGAGGAGGAGGACCGAGGCCATGCCGGTGAGGACAGGGGTCGCTTCCACAGTGCTCACCCCCGGGGCCGAGGTGCCCGCCCCCGTGGCCCTCGACAGCCGTCCTCGACGGCCGCGCCGGCGTCCTGCCGTCCTGCCCCTCCTCCTCCTCCTCCTCCTCTCCTCCTCCTCCTCCCTCCTCCCTCCTCCTCTCTCTCCTCCTCCTCCTCCTCTCCTCCTCCTCCTCCTCCTCCTCCTCCTCCTCCTCCTCCTCCTCCTCCTCCTCCTCCTCCTCCTCCTCCTCCTCCTCCTCCTCCTGGCGGCGGGGTCCTTCGTGATGGTGACCGTCTTCGCCGTGCCCAGCACGCTGGGGTCGAAGGTCTCGTCCAGCTTGCGGCCCAGCTCCTCGGTAGACAGCGGGGGGACGTGTCGACCCCCATCTCAGACTTCGTGGGACTTTCGAACGGGGACCCACAGATTTGGGGCCCAGCTCGGGAATATACGTTGCGGGGCGCCCATGCTCGATATGGGGTGCGTGCAGAGATCCCCCTGGGGCGGTATCCCCGAGTGTCCCTCCTTGTCTGAGCGGCCTCATTCTGCTGGGGGGAGCCTCGGATTGGGGGTGAGACATCGCCTGCAAAAAGAGGCACAAGCGCACACCACGAGCATCACAAGCGGAAGCCCCACGGGCGGCGAGCGCATCCCTCTCCGCGCCCTCGCGGTGTGGACTCTGGGGCGCGCTCCCACAGATGCGCGGCCGCATGGATACGCTCTTCTTGTTGGCGTGTCTGTGTGTATCTGTGTGTGTGTGTGTGTGTCTGTGTGTGTGTGTGTCTGTGTGTGTGTGTGTGTGTGTGTGTGTGTGTGTCTGTGTGTTTGTTTTTGTTGGGGAGCACCACTGACCGCACCGCAGGCAGTCACCACCTGCAGGCCCTGCTGGCCTCAGGCTCGGCAGCCCCAGCACGGAGCGCCCCGAGCCTGTCCAGCTGGGGTGGCCCGGGGAGGGAACCCAGGCAGGCCGAGCGGCGACGGCAGAAGCGCGGACCTCTCCTGGGGGAGCCAAGAGGTACCGATATATCGCTGCCCCTGGACCTCTCCCGGGGTGCGCTCTGACCAGCACATCGAGGGGCGAATCCAGCGGTGGCGACGAGGGCCCCCAAGAGGGCCCAAGGAGGGAAAAAGGAGGCGCAGGTGTAGCAATATCGGTGCCTTTTCCTCCTCCGATCTTCCCTGCTCAAGCACGGCGCGGGGCGCTCCACTCGCAAAGAATTAGATCGGGCCTCACCCCCTACATGAAAATTGTCGACGAAGAATAAAAAGTACCCCGGAAATAGACTAAAACATAGTCCAAAAACAGTATTGGGACTATTTTTTTAGTATTTCTTGACCTTTTTGGTGTACTTTTTGGATGGTTGTTTTGTCTTCCGTCGAACATCCCCCTGTAGCGACATGAGCGAAGAAGAGCGCCCGACATGGGCGAAGACGCGCGCCGCAGCCTCGGGGTCACGAGACCCGTGCGCGCCGCGCGGAGTCGGCGAACCGAAGACCTTCTCTGTTGCACCCTACAGGGCAGTTGTTAATACATAGGATGTTTTAACATCGAGGGTTTTCGTACATGGTTAATGTATGAATGAATGGATGCATGAACCCATCGTTGTTTGTTTATACTAGTTCCCTGCATTTTTAATATATGATCCGTGCGCGGCGCATGTATTAAAAACGGCACTGTAAAAGGGGACATTGTCTGTCCAATCACGGCCCGATCCGCCACGAATCCGTGTCGAATACACGTCGATCTCGTCTGATCCGTGTCGAGGCCGTATCGGATCCGCGTCGGGTCCGCGCCACATCCGCGTCGAGTGCGCATCCAGCCCGCGTCGGGCACAAGAGAAGACACCTATAGTTGGGGACAGGCGAGGCCCCCCGAAGATGCAACGCAAGAACCCCCCCAACCCGAGCGCTAGGGGGGGGGGCCATCGCTGATCCGAGAGATCCGCGCGGAGCCACTGAAGTGTTGTCGTTGGTGGTGGCGTTGGTGTTGTTGCTGTTGCTGTTGCTGTTGTCGTCGTCGTCGTCGTCGTCGTCGTTGTTGCTGTTGTTGTTGTTGTTGTTGTTGAGCCCTCACTTCTGACGGATATTTATTGTTGATCCCCCCCACTGGTGCATAGTGTTTTTTTTTTTTTTTTTTTTTTTTTTTTTTTTTTTAAATATTATTATTATCAATGTGGGCCCCTCGACGCTCGCTCCCTATATTTTGACAGGGGAAATCTTGGTGCTCAACCTGTGCCCCTGGCCCCCCCGGGTTACAACAACAACGGTTACCGCCTAAGACTTCTTGCAAATTTACTCAAGAGCCCCGCAGCCGCCTAAGACTTCCTCACAAGTTACTGACGCCCTCGCAATTTAGTGGGGACCCCCGCTCCCATCTGAGACTTCCTCACAATTTGCGCAGGAACGGCGCTCCCGCTGGAGACTTCTCCGCACATGAATCAAAACTTCTTCGCAATTTAATCAAGACCCCCGCTCCCGCCAGAGAACCCCTCACAGTTCATTCAGGAATTGAGCTCTCGCCTGACTTCCATGCAATTCATTCAGCAATCGCGCTTTCGACGCTCAGGAAACACGCTGCGCCAAGGACGCCGCTACAATTTACGTAGGAATCTCGCTCTCGCCATACTCAGGCATCCCGCTTGAATGCCCCACCCGCCCGACCCGCCCGTCAGGGGATCGCCCGCCCGTCGTGAGCTCCCGCCCGAGACTTCCTTCAGGAACGGCGTTTTCGCCATCCTGCTCCTCCTCCCTCTCCCTCCTCCCTCCTCTCCTCCATTCTCTCTCCCTCCTCTCTTCCCTCATCATTTTGCCTCTCTGCCCTATCCCCTCTGCCTCCTCTCCCTCCTCCCTTCTCCCTCCCCTCTCCTGCCTCCTCCCTCCCTCTTTCTGTCTCTCTCTCTCTCTCTTTCTCTCCCGTCTCTCTCTCTCCCTCTCTTTGTTTGTTTCTCTCTCTCTCTCTCTCTTTCTCTCTCTCTTTCCCGACCTCTCATATATGTATGTATTTCTCTCCCTCTCTCTCTCTCTCTCTCCCCCTCCCTCTCTCTCTCTCTCTTTCTCTCTTCCTGCCTCTAATCAACCGCCCCCGTCTTCGCTCCTTCTCTCCTGGCGTTTTCCCTCTTCCTTCGTCCTCCCCCTCCCTTCCTCCACTCTCCCTCGTTCTCCCCCTCCTTTTCTTGCAGGGCTCACACCAATTCCAGTGGCGGGCACATGTACGCCCACGAAAGATTGTCCGTCCGTTCAGGTTCGCCCGTCTGTTTAAGCCCGCCGACCCCCGCAAGGAGAAATAATTCCCCAAAGGGGGTGTGATCGAACACAAAAACGGCAAGTATCGAGGGCGTGGGGAACTCGTTTAGAATGGCACCCGTGCGCGTAAGAGCGAACAGTCTTATAATGATTGCTGGTGTGGTTGGTGTTGTTATAGGGGTTGTTGTTATTGTTGGTGCTGTTGGTGTTGTTGTTGTTGTTGGTGGTGTTGCTGTTGTTGTTGAACTCTCGTTTCTGAAGAATAAATATTGTTGATCCCCCCCCACAGGTGCACATTGGTTTTCTCCATCAAAGTGGCCCACTCGACGCTCGCTCCCTATCTTTTGACAGGGAAAGTCTTGATGCTCAAACTGTATTCCTGGCCCCCGGGTTACAACAACAACAACAACACCAACAACAACAACAACAACAACAACGGTTCACGCCTGAGACCTCCTCACAATTTAGCCAGGACCCCCGCTTCCGCCCGAGACTTCTTTGAATTTTATTCAGGGATCGCGCTCTCGCGCTGGACTTCCTCGAATTTATTGAGGAATCGCTCTCCTGGCGCTCTGGAGTCGCGCTCTCGCTGGAGACTCGCTTGCAATTAACTGACGAATAGCGCCCCTGTGCTGGAATTTCCTGCAATTTACTTAAGCGCCGCGCTCCCGACACCCAGGCACCCATGAGTCGCGCTCACGCTTAGGAGTCCCTCATAGATTACCTAGGAATCGGGATCTCGCTGCCCTTCGTGGCCCCGTTGCAGCCCTTCGTGGCCCACTCGCTTTGCTTCGTGGCCCCGTTGCAGCCCCTCGTGGCCTCCTCGCTGCCCTTCGTGGCCCCATTGCAGCCCTTCGTGGCCCCCTCGCTTTGTTTCGTGGCCCCGTTGCAGCCCTTCGTGGCCCCCTCGCTGCCCTTCGTGGCCCCGTTGCAGCCCTTCGTGGCCCCGTTGCAGCCCTTCGTGGCCCCCCTCGCTGCCCTTTCATGGTCCCGTTGCAGCCCTTCGTGGCCCCGCTGTCGCTCTTCGTAGCCCAATATATGTGTGCCCTTCGTGGTCCCCGCTCGTTCGCGCCCGTGGTGACGCCATATGCATGCCCTTCGTGGCCCCGGTGTCGCCCTTCGTGGCCCCCTCGCTGCCCTTCGTGGCCCCGTTGCTGCCCTCAGTGGCCCCGTCCTTGCCCTCCGCGGCCCAACATACGCATGCCCTTCGTGGCCCCCGCTCGTTCGCGCCCGCTGTGGCCCCATGTGCATGCCCTTCGTGGCCCCACTGTCGCTGTTTGTGCCCTCCCTCACTGTCCTACGTGGCCCAGTTGCTACCCTCAGTGGCCCCATCGTTGCCTTCTGTGGCCCCGCATTATCTGCCCTTCGTAGCCCCCGCTCGTTCGTGCTCTTCGTGGCGCCATACGCATTCCCTTCGTGTCCCCGCTGTCGCCCTTCGTGGCCTACTTCGTGTCCTTCGTGGCCCTGCTGTCGTTCTCTCTCGCTCTCGCTTTCGCTCGTCGTCGTCGTCGCCGTCGTCGTCGTCGTTGTCGTCGTCGTCGTCGTCGTCGTCGTCGTCGTCGTCGTCGTTGGTCCCCTGTCCGTCCCTCGTGGGGTCGGGTCGACGGTCCGCGGCCGCCCCGCCGATCAGCGCTGCCGCTGGCCAGGCCGACAGTCCGCGGCCGCACCGCCGCTTGCCGGGGCCCGGCCTGCAGGGAAGAAAGGTCTACCCCCCAAAAGGGGTTCGATCGAAGACGAAAAGGGCGGGTATCGAGGGTTTGGGAAATTCGCGTTATTCGACACTCGAGCAGATAAGGGCGAACAGTCCTAAACTGATTGTTGCTGTTGCTGTTGTAGTTGTTTTTGTTGTTGAGGTGGTTGTTGCGGTTGTTGTTGTTGGTGGTGGTGGTGGTGGTGGTGTTGTTGTTGCTGCTGCTGCTGTTGTTGTTGTTGCTGCTGTTGTTGTTGTTGTTGTTGGTGGTGGTGGTGTTGTTGTTGTTGTTGTTGTTGTTGTTGTTGTTGTTGTTGTTGTTGTTGTTGTTAGTGTTGTTGTTGTTGTTGTTGCGGTTGTTGTTGTTGTTGCTGTTGCTGCTGTTGTTGTTGCTGCTGCTGTCGTCGTCGTCGTCGTCGTCGTCGTCGTCGTCGTCGTGTGTGTGTGTGGGCGGGTGCTGTTAGCTCCTCTTCGACGCCCACGGTTTTCCTGCGGCTCTGCTTCTACAGGGAGGTGCGCCTCTCGGGCCACCCTCGGGGCCCCGTTGACCAGGGCTCTCGGGCGCCCCTCTCCTGCAGTCCTCCGTCGCCCCCGCCTGGAGGCCCGGCAAGGGTACCGAAACCAGGGGCACGCTGCCCACATGGGAGGATGAGGAGGAGGAGGAGGAGGGGGAGGAGGGGGAGGAGGAGGAGGAGGAGGAGGAGGAGGAGGGAGGAGGAGGAGGAGGAGGAGGAGGAGGAGGAGGAGGAGGAAGAAGCAGGCGTGGTCCAGAAGCGGCAGCGGCCGCCGTCGGGCAGGCGCCCTTCCGTCTCAAACGGACAGCGGAACGCGGGCACCGACAGCGAGTCCTGCTCACAATGAGCAGCGTGCCTATTTCATCGGATCGGCGCTGGATCCCCCTCCCCTGGCGCGCGGAGCGCGCCAGGGGCGGCGCCCGAGGCGCCGCCAGAGGGGGGTGCCAGCGCCGATCCCACAGAGCCGCGCGGACCTTCGAACGTTTATGTTTGTGCAGCTTCTTCTGCCTCGCGCCTCCCCAGCACGTACGGTTGGCGTTGCAAAGATAGCGTTAGGTCGGGCATGCCCTGCTTCAGGCGGATTCTGGATGAAAAAAAACATACACCAAACACGCTCAGAAGTAGTCAAAGATAATCAAAACATCTTCCCGAGACTACTTTTTACCGCTTTTGAATTTTCCTCCTGTAGAAGGACGTGCCCGACTTAAAGATAGCGTGCGACATCGATCTCCGAAGCGCGCGCTATCCCTGCGAGGCAATCCCCCCACGAGGGCCCTTTCTGCACACGCTGTGTCCCTGCGAAGTCCTCGTCGGTGCGGGCTATCCACCATGCCAGGGCTTCGTGAAGGCGCCCAGGTGCACAAGAGCTAATTGACACGCATCCCAGAATCCCCCATGCTTTGCCATGTTCTCGGAAGCCTCGTCTTCCCAGCCACTCCCCATATTTTCCACATACTTTCCTCGAGATCGACGTTTATGTGTGCCAATGTGTGATTTGTCCCTCCTGACCTCCTCGGTGCACGCTACCCTTAGGCCGGGCATGTCCTCCTACAGGCGGATTGGGGACGCAACAAACATCAAAACATGCTATACAATAAGCAGCAGAGAATCGAAACATCGTCCCCATACTATTTTTGCTGACTATTCTTGGAGTCTCCTCCTGTAGAGGGACCCGCCCGACCCAACGCTACCCGGAAGGGGTGGGGAAGAGCGTGCGCGGAGCGGGCTGGGCGCCACCACCTCGCACGCTGCCTTCTCTGCGACGCCAGCCGCGCGCAGCGCACACCCCCCCACTGCGAAAAAAGGCCGGGTCCTCGCTGATCATCTCCGCGCCGGACAGGACGGCGAGGTCCTGGCATCCACGGGGAGAGGGCGGGGGGCTCGCCGGAAAACGGGCCCCGAGGCTTCCAGCCATTTGCGGCGGGCCCTCCCTCGGGGCTCGCCGCGGGCCCTCGGGGACTGCAAGAGGACGGCTCAGGAGGAAGATCCGCTCGTCTCTGGGGCCCCCAGGCCCCCGACGTCAGGATTTTTTCACTGCGTCGACCCCCAGAGGTCTGGACCCATTCCCCAGGGCCGGTGCCTCGCACAGGGCCGTTTTTTGAACGGCCCCGAGGCCCTGTGGGGGGCCTCCAGGGACCGAAACCTAGCGGAACACCGCCCGTCGTGATTTTTTTGTCACAGCGCCAGGGGGTCCGGGTCCTGGGGGGAGGCCCCAGGGTCCAGGGTTAAGTCGGGCCTGTCCCCCGACAGGGGGATTTTCGACGAAAAATAAAAAATACACCAAAAATACACCAAAAAGGTAAAACAATACTCCAAAAATAGTCCCCAGACTATGCGGGGACTATGTTTACATTATTTTTAGGGTATTTTTTATTTTTCGTCGATAATCCCCCTGTAGGGGGACAGGCCCGACTGAAGTCCAGGGCCCGTTTCCCCTCAGGACCTCAGTCCCCTCCCCTGCTGAAGAGGCGGGCGGTGGGGAGAAACCGCGGCGGCAGAGGGCCGGCAGGCTGGGGAGCGAGGAGCCGAGGGAGGCCGAGCAGGGGGAGCAGCCGAAGGGCAGCCGAGACTCGCCCGTCTCGTCACCCTCCGCGTGCGAGGGCCCGGGCATGCGTGCCATTCGCTTTTCGGCGATAGCCCGGGTGAACCATGTGGGGGGCGGGGGCTTGCCAGAGGGAGGCCGAGCGGGGGGAGCAGCCGAAGGCCAGACAGCTCTTTGCCGTAGCTGCTTTGTGGGGGTCCGAGCGGTGGTCGGAGGCGGCCCGGGTGCCCTGCAGAGCGCGGGCGCGGGGGGGAGCAACTGCACGGGCGTACACTTTCGGAGGTCCGCGCAGCGAGAGGAAGGGTGCGAGAACGGCCTGGAGGGAGCCAGCAGTGGAGGGAGACAGAGCGAGAGGCAGTGGGAGGGAGGCAATAGAACAAGACGGGCACGGGCCTGAGATGAAACAGCATGAGGCCGAGACGGAGACGTGGGCGGAGGGAGGAAGTGGATGAAGCGGGGGTGGTGAGGCGAGTGGCAGGGATGGAGAGGGGAATGGATGGAGAGGCGAATGGATGAAGGAGAGGGGACAACCTTCCACGTCTGCTGGCTTTAGCAAACCATCCGCCAACATCCGCAGTGCAAAAACGTGTGGCGCCCACCCCCGGGGGCCGTGGCGGCATTGACACCAAGCTTAGTGCCGTCAAGGAACACATATCATCGAACACAATCGTCGAGGATGAATCAGACCTTGAGGATACTGTTGCATGGACTTCGGACCTTCGGCTCGCATCGTGCAGGGCTTATGACACTCATCGAACCCAGTTTGCAACATCTCTTTACTCGAAGAGGAGAGGAGGGGGCATCCCCCTCGATGACCACGCGGCCTCACGCAACGATGCATGCGCAGGGCTGTCTGAGATGGAATGCTTGTGATGAGCAAAGACACTCTGCACTGACCCTCAGATTCATCGCCCGACTTGATGAAGTCCGGGCGGCTTGGGGAGAACCTAGGGAGGCCGGGAGAAAAGGGTGGATCGGGGGCGCAGCGTGACGGGAGACTGGCCATCGCTCGGATGTCCATTCCCTGTGTTCTTTGTGGTTTCGTGCGTGTTTTTTTCGCCAAATGATCAAGGATGCTCCTCGAGGGTCCTCGCCGAAGGAAAAATGCACACGTCCGAGCGATGCCAAGGAGAGGGCGGGGTAGAGGAGGGGAGCCTGCGGAGCGGCACGCGGAGCGGCCGGAGCCAAGAGCGGATGAGAGGCGACGGCAACGGGAGCACGGACACCGAGGATCACCTCTCCTCCTGCTCCTCCGCCTCCTCGTCGCCCTCGTGCTCCTCCTCCTCCTCCACCTCCTCCTCCTCCTCCTCCTCCTCCTCCCCCTCCTCCTCCTCCTCCTCCTCCCCCTCCCCCCTCCTCCCTCCTCCTCCTCCTTCTCCTCCTCCGCCTCCTCGTCGCCCTCGTCCTCCAGCTCCTCCGCCGTGTACTTGTTTCTTCCCAGCCCCGGAGGTCTGGACCCCTTCCTCAGAAGCGGCTCTTCATTCCGAGCCGAATCAATCTGAAGGGCCCCTGGAGGCCGAAAGCTATGCAAAACCTCCAGTCGTGACGTCGTCGCAGCGCGAAGGAGGTTCGGCCACCCCTCCCCTCCCCTGAGAGGGGGGCCCCGATAGAGGGGACCGGCTCAACGGGGAAACCTAGAGCCGGAATCTGCGATCCATCGCCGATACATTGGCGATGCATCGCCGATGGAACGGCGACGCATCTCCCCCTGAACGTTAAACATTTCGGGGCGCATCCAGCGGTGGCGGCGAGGGCCCCCCCAGGAGGCTCACACAGGGGGAAAACGAGGCGAGGGCAGAGGTGCGGGTACCTCGGGAGCGGCCAAGAGGGGGGTGTCCAAGAGGGGGGGGTGCAAATCATGACCGGCGGCATGTGCGCGGCCCAGCGGGGGGGCCAGGGACGTAATGAAATAAGAAGAGGCGCCATGAAATCTGGGGAAATATCATGGCCCCCGCCATGATATCCACCCCCCCCTAGTCATCCCCCCCCTTTTCCGCCCCCGAGGTACCTCTTCCCCCGCCGAGCTCCCCCCTCCTCCTCCCGGGCCCCGACGCAGCTGCCCGCGGTCCTGCAGCATGGCCTTGCGGTGGTCGCCGAAGCCGGGAGCCTGGGGGCCGCTGCCGCGGCCGCGGCCCGCCACGGGCTCCCCTTTCCGTCGGGCGCCCGGCACGAGCGGCAGCGATCGCGTGGCGTCGGGGCTGGGCAGGTCCCCCGCCCGCTTGGCAGCGCACCCCCTTCTTGAAAGCAGCCCGGGGCCAGACGCAGCGGCCGCAGGCCCGCAGCAGATGCGGCCGCGAGAGCCTCCCGAGAACCGAGAGGAAGGGCAGTTCGCCAACTGCCTCGGCAGACGTTTTTTTTGTTTCCCGCCGAGAAGGATGAGAAGTTCCGGTTTCCGAACTGATGGGGAGGGGACTCCACCAAACAGAACCTGCTGTGCATCCGCCCTCGGCTGCAGAGCAAGTCGAAACTTGTGTCACGAAACTCGGACCCTGAAAGCAGGTCTCTGGAGGAGGAGGAGGAGGAGGAGGAGGAGGAGGAGGAGGAGGAGGAGGAGGAGGGGGGGGCCAAGAATCCCAGGATGGGGCCGGCCGAAATCGCCACCAGAGCGGATTGATGCCACATCGGACATGGCCCTGGGATCCTCGGCCCTCCCCTCTCGGGTCGGACGAAGCGGGGGGATAGCAATCGAGCAAGGGATCGGCTGCAGAGCTGATGAACTCCAACCGTGACTCTCCCATGGAACCTACGAGAACTGCGTAGAATTCTCCGCAGATTTGCACAAGGCGTTTGCGCACTTCTCGCAGATTCGGAGGGCAAACGATTTCTGGGGTAAAAGACGTTCTGCAGCCGATCCCCTACTCGAAGCAAAGGGGGAACAGCGAATCAGCTCCCGTAGCTCGCTTTCCCAGCGCCCGAGGCGCCCGTACATCGAGGGAAGCGCTGCGCGGTGGTGACGAAGCTAGCTGCGTGCGGCCGACTTCGTAACCGCCCCCTGCCCCGCTGGCGCTGACCCAGCGGCCGCTCGGGGCCATGTTGGCACCCCCATAATGCTCTCGGCGAGGCGCCACTGCTCGAGAGCATCCCGATGCCGCCGCCGAGAACCCGCGGACACGCTCGAAACCCTCGAACCCAGACAAAACCTCAGCTATGCTTTGTTTCAGTCTGCGGGCCCAGAGCTCCCGACGCCTTCACTGGACTTCGTCTCCTGTCCTGGACCCATGTTTGCTGATCCCAGAAGAAAAACAAACCACATGCACACAAACTATTGGCGCTCCGCGCGGGTTTCTTGGATTCGCGCTGGACCCGCCTCCCTGGCGCGCGAAGCGCGCCAGGGGCGGCGCCGGAGGCGCCGCCGGGGGGGGGGGGCCAGCGCGGACCCAAGAAATCCGCGCGGAGCGCAAGAATTTATGGTTATGGCGCTTTTCCTTTCGCAGGTGACTTTTCTCCCCCAATCCCCGAGCTTCGCCGGAAAAGTATGACCTCTCAGAAAAAGAGGGAAGCCCTGGGGTACACCCCAAGGAGGCTATTCGGACGCACCACTATCGAGGATGAACGCCCCCCAATCGTATATCCCAGGGTTGGGGCTCAAATTTCTGCTTCATGCGAAAACCCCACGATGTCTGGGATAGGGGTCGACATATGCCCTGTTATCCTTCTTCGAGATTCGTCCCGGGGCTCGGAAGCGGCCCTCGGGAGGCCGAAGGGGGAAGGCACCACGCCGAACTGGAAAAAGACCTCGTCGGGGGTTTTGCGGAGGCGGCGCGGCTCGGCGCGACGGAATGGCAAGGGTCCTCCCCCTCCTCCTCCTCCTCCTGCTCCTCCTCCTCCTCCTCCTCCTCCTCCTCCTCCTCCTCCTCCTCCTCCTCCTCCTCCTCCTCCTCCTCCTCCCCCTCGATGGGGGGGCGATGAGTGGTCGGGCAAGACAGGTGCCCTCTGTTCCGCCCTGAAGGAAGGGCCCCTTTTCGGCAGCCCTCGCTACCCTCCCCCACCCATGGATGGCCCCCCCCCAATACGCTCAGATCGGGCATGTCCCCCTACAAGCGGATCGTGGACGGAAAATTCAGAATACCCTCCAAAAATTCAAACAGATTCCCAAAATCATAGAAATGCAGTCCCCAGACTATGTTTTTACTATTTTTGAATGTTCCTTTTTACTGTTTTGAATGCCCCTCCTGTAGGGGGACATGCCCGACTGAACATTACGACGCGCCCTCCAACGCGGGCGACAGGGGCCCGGGCTGGGCGGACTGGGCCGCCTTGACCGCCGAGATGTTCAGGCCCCCCCGCAGCTTGTTGACCACCATCGTCGCGAGCGCCTCCCCGTCGACGTCCTGGGCCGGGAGGGGCCCTCTCCTCTGGTGCCTCTCCGGGGATCTCGGCCCCTCCCCGCCGCTGCGCCCTGGCCGCGCTCCGGGTCGAAGCTTCGGGGACACCCGGGGGCATCCCTTGGTGGCCTGCGTTGGGTGCGTCCTGGGCCGCCTGCGGCCACACCGGAGAGAGGGGCCGAAAGAGCTTGCACGGTCTCTGGGTCTGTGGCGTGAGGTTCCGCGGTGCCGATGCTTGTTGTGCTGTGCTGCCTGTCGTGACTGTTGTCGTTATGGTTGTTGTCGTCGTGGCCCCCGCGACGACCCACCAAGGACCTTCCCGCGACCCACCCGCGACCCTCGATCGATCGATCCACCAATCCGCACGCGACCCGCATCCACGACCACCGCCCGGGAACCGCGCCCGCGACCCACCCCCGCCGAACTGAAACATCGCCGCCTGCGGCGGGCTGGTTGCGTGGAAGAAGAAAATGAGTCGGCGCATGCGACTGGCTTCTAGCTTCCAGTGAGACGAAAGACTCGGGCTCGTGGTGGCGTGACGGGGCCACCAAGAACACATTACGAGACCCGCTCTGAAACTTGACGCGAACTCCCGCTGCAAACATCCCACGAACATTGGACCGTCAAATCCAGGACCGGCGTACTCGAGTCTTACGTTTCCCTGGACGTTGGTATTTGAGCCTCGTGACCCGTCGACGCGCCGCCCTGCGCCCCACACACGCTCTTTTGCAAAAAAACTCCGCCTGGGGCAGGCTCACCACCTCGGAGCTCTGTACACGGGCGTTTGAGCCACGCAGTCTCGACAGGGCAGCCCAAGGCAAAGGGGCCCAGGGACACACAAATCAACAGACACAAACCACAAGATTTTCATGCTTTTCCATATTCTCTGGACGGTTCGTCTTCCCCTCCACTTCCCAAAATTTCCGATATTCTCCTGGGGATCGCCGTTGAAGTGTGTCTGTGCTTGTGCCCTCATGAAAATATAGAGGCCTCCTACATGAGATCCGAGTAGACAGGGTCGGATGATCGCGCCGCATGGCCCATGCATCGGCGATGCACCGGCGATGCATCGCTGATGTATCGGCGACGTCGGCGGCGTATCGGCGATGTCGGCGGCGCATCGGCGACATCGGCGTGGGGAAAGCGGGCTCCGCATCGAGCCGCATCGGCGATGCGTCGGCGATGCGGCGCGATCCTCCGACCCAGCTGCTCGGATCCCATCTGGGAGGCCCCATCTACTCGGACCCCATCTACTCGGACCCCATCAACCTCGTCCGCTATTGCGAGGGTATGTGTCATTACCACGCTTGGCCACCGCCGTCCTTCGACGTCACGGTTCTCTTCGTGGCTCGGACCCCCCCGGGGGATCTCGACCTCTCCTCCAGGGCCAACTTTTTATGATGAGCTTGTTTTCCACCACCACCACCATAAGTTGGAGGGGGGAAGGAGGAGGAGGAGGAGGAGGAGGAGGAGGAAGAGGAGGAGGAGGAGGAGGAGGAGGAGGAGGAGGAGGAGGAGGGGGATGAGGAGGAGGGGGAGGGGGGGGGAGGAGGATGGTGGTGGTGGTGGAAAACACGCCCATCATTTTACCCCGACGACTTGCCATTCTTATCTGGCGCTTCGACATTGGGGGGAGGGCGGGGTCTGGCTCCAGACCTCTGCCCAGTGCGACTGTCTGCAGCAGTGCGCCCCGTGGGGGAGACTCCACGTTTCGCGAAACAGGCGCCACAAAACAGCCAAGATCTGCTCCACGGGAGCCGGGAGGGGGGGTGCTGGGGCCCGCGCCGATCGGCAAAAACATGGATAAGAAAACGATCACAAGACCAACTGTTGTTCCTGACGGCTTCTTTTCCTGTCGCGGGGCCGGGGAACTGTTTCGATTGCCCGGGAAACATCGAACACCAACGGCCGCGTGCGCCGTTGGGATCTGAGGGAGCAGGCAGATCCTGGCCAGGGGCCAGAGGAGGCTCGAGGATCATTTGTTTCGGACGTTCTGGTGCTCTTTCTGGGCCTCCTCGTCGCCACGGCTGGAACCGCGCCGATTGTTGGGCCAGATCGCACCCCAAGATGGATCTGGAAATCCACTTGCGACTGCTGGAACAAACCAACCCTCACATCGTGAAAAAAACACGTAGAACAAACAATTCGGCACGTTTCGGCCTGCGGAGCCCTTTCCTGGCCCTGGGGCCGTTAGAAAACGACGGGAGATAGAAACAACTGCATAAACATCAACTGCCAGAGGTCCGCGCGACAGGTTCTTGGCACGAGCGGGCGCAGAATACCCCTGCGCACATCGCGCGACTGATGCAGAGTCACCCCCTCTAGGCGTAGGTTGGTTAACGAGCCCTCGAAGCGCAGATGCCCTCGGGGGCGACGAAGGTGTGTGGGGGGGGGCGGGCGAGAGGAGAAGCATAGATAACATAATAATCAATGATACGGCAAAACACCACTCACACAAACTTTCTCAGGTCCGCGCGGAGTTCTTGGATCGTCGCTATGCCGCCAGAGCTGGCGCCGGAGGCGCCGCTGGAGGTCGAGAAGTCCGCCCGGATCTGCAGAAGTTTGTGTTTATGCCGGTGTTGTCCTTCTTCTTCTACTTGGTGGCGGCGCGCACAAGGGGTTAGAGGGAGGGGAGACGGCTTCTTGGAAGAAGGCTGCTTCTTAGAAGGCGCCAGCCCTATATCTACAGATAAAGCCCGCGTCTTCTAAAAAGTAGGGGTGCTTCTGAGAGGCTTTTCCCCCTCCCCCTACCGCCCGCACTGCGCGCGGCTGATCTTCGAGCTGGGGAAGGAACTCGCGGTTGGAACTTCAGGGAGCCCTGCGCTAACGATCACAAGAATCACGGCGTCGGAGGCTGGAGGACGCAGTCGCGCAGGCATGCCAAGGGCTGGCGGCAGGGTGGCTTGAAGAATGGGGAGCATAGGAAGGCAAACAACTCGGCGGCGAGCGAGAGGGGAACGTGAGAAAGAGAAGGTCCTCTCAGAAGGCGCAGGGGCTTCTCAGGAGGCCTCCTGCCTTCTTGGAGGCGTTCTGCGCCTTCGGGGGCTGCTTCAACAACTTCTCAGAAGGCCGGGGGACTTCCGAGCCTCCCGAGAAGGCCCGCCCCTTCTCACTTCCCCCCACGCTTGCCACCGAACATGGAGGAAACCAACACCAACTTGGATAACAAATCGGGGATCCGTGAAGTTCTCTTGGGACGGCTGCACGCAAGAAGTGGCCCTAGGCAAAGGGCGACCTTTGGTGCCCGACTTTCGGGGGCCGCGGGGAGGCCAAACCCGAGCGCGCAGGACGATGATATCGCATCGCGCTCAATCATCTGGAGACCTCGGTGTGCCCGCACCAAAGGTCACTCCAGCGAAAAGACACTCTCACGTGTAGCTGACTGGGTTGGCGCAGGACCCCATGGCGGCGACACCGGCGCCAGGGGAGGGGGGGGTCCAGCGCCGACCCAAGAGATCCACGCGAACCTCCAAAAACTTGTGCGTATGCACTTTTGAGACTCTCTGGAAGACACCGGGCGGTCAGGAGGACGAGGCAGACGAAGGCATGCAGGCAAGCAGGCGGGTGAAAAGGTGGGGGGGAGGGTAGAGAGAGCAGGCGGAAATCCATGATACACCCGACACGACTCACTTATGCTGCAATATGCCAGGAGGAGGAGGAGGAGGAGGAGGAGGAGGAGGAGGAGGAGGAGGAGGAGGAGGAGGAGGAGGAGGAGGGAGAGGGGGGGGAGAAGGAGGAGGGAGAGGAGGAGAGGAGGAGGAGGAGGAGGATGGAGAGGGGGGGGGAAGGAGGAGAGGAGGAGGAGGAGGAGGAGGAGGAGGAGGAGGAGGGAAAGGAGGAGGGGGAGGCGAGGAGGAGGAGGATGAGGAGGAGGAGGAGGAGGGAAAGGAGGAGGAGGAGGGAAAGGAGGAGGAGGGAAAGGAGGAGGAGGCGGAGGAGGAGGAGGAGATGGGGCCCGCTTCCCTCGGGGCCAACGTGACGTGCGAACGACTCGCATCTCGGAGTGGGACTGGGAGCAGCGTGGACGTCGCGCACCGAGTCACAGAACAAAAGCAATCGACGAGCGAATTCCCACCGCTGTCGTGGAGCATCATGCGCGCCCCTGCTTCGGGGCCCTCGCTGACCGCGGGTAGGCTCGGGCAACAATGCTGCCGAAGCAAAGTGGCACTGCGCTCGAGTGCGAGAACCCGCTGGGGTTTCTGCCCCCCTGGGCGCGCGCGCGCGCAGAAGCGCAAGCAGAGCCCGGGGGCGCTCTCGAACGAGACGTCCACAGCAATTCGGACGCGTTCTGGCTATGATGCACTCGATCGCAGGCGGGCGCAAAGCAGATCGCACCTCCCTGTCGCAGCGCTTGACTCGACAGAATCGAGGCTCGTCGAAAATGCGAAGTGCGGTAATTAAGGCTGCATCGAGTTTCTTCCAATGGCGCGGAGACGGTGTCAGCACGCGCGCGCCATGCAACATCTAGGAAAGGAGAAGGCGCTGCATGAAATGGGGTTTGTGGGTTTGCGCCGCGAGCGCAGATCCAAGCGCTTTGACAGACGCCGGCGCGCACGCTGAGATGGTGGCGGCCGCCTCGCAAGTCGTGTCGGCCAAACTGCGAGCGCGCAGAAACGACGCTGCGTCGAGATGCCCGCGCGAAGCTGCTACGCGCACGCGCGCGTCGCGGCGAGGCGCCTGCACGGAGAGCTGTCCAGAGTCGTCGCGGCGAGCTTCGCGGCACGCTGTGGCGCGAGCGCCTCGGTGCGTGAGCAGCGCCTCAGTGTTTCCAGTCGCGGCGTCGATCTGCGAATGAAGGTTTCAAATGCAAAGAACATCGCGTCGAGCAGCATCTCGATCTTGCGATCGAGTTCTGCAAAAGAAAACGCCGCGACGGCCGGCGCCTCATCGTCAATAAAAGCTGCGTCCAACGCAGACTCTTCGGGACTGGTGGCACGATCAGGGGGGGCCCAGAAAGCGCCGCCCGGGAGAGAGGGCATCGGGGGAAACCCCTTTTCACGAAGCCTGCTGGGGATGGGGTCCAGGGCAATTCCGTGGGCACCATTAGACGTGGTGGCGCCGAACTTGCAGCCTTGCTGGCCTCCAGTCCAGCTTGTGGCGAGCGTGGGCAGGTCCGAACCTGCCGCCCAAGCGCCTCCGTGGAGCGTGCAAATCATCTCGGCAGCGGGACCGCCCACTCCCCGCCGTTGCAGCAGGTGGCCGTGCTCCGCAAGATGTGCCAAAGTCCGGTCAGCTGACTCATCCGAGACGCCAGATGAAATCAAATGAGATCGATGGGGCTCGGCGGAAATCCGCCCCCCCCCCCGCCGGAAATCAACTGCCGAACTGCGCGGTCGAATGCTGCTGGTGAGTCCATGTGCAATATGAATATCGCAGGCTAGGCGTGCTCGAGAAGAGCATGCCGCAAAGGGGACGCCATATCAGTCCCTCAGCGAGGGGTGGCCCCGCGCTTCGAATACGCCTGGCGGGGCGCGTGCGCGCTAGAGATCGACGGTTGCAAAATGCAGCAGAGACCCTCGCTGGCGTGGCATGCGGGCAACATGCTTCGACTGTCGCCAGTCATCTTGGGACCGCCCTTGCGCTTGCAATTCCCTTGCGAACGACCGCCGCGCCGCTTGGAGGGCCATGCCCCCGCGGCCTTGGCTCTCTCGCTTGACGAACCAACAACACACACCCATACCCACAGGGGGGTCGGAGAGGGCTGTGGGTACGTGTTGTCGGATGGGGGTCCCCGCTCGAACGGGCGCGTTCCCAGGGTCCGACAACCCGCACCCATACCCGTAGCGAGTCCTCCTCCCAACGACCGCCCCTATGGGTATGGGTGTGTGTTGTTCGTTCGTCATCGCTCGCGACCGAAAACTTGCCAGCAAAGGCAGACTCCCCTGCCTCAGGAAGCTCGGCGGGGACGCCATCCCAGCCGAGCCCCCCGTTAGAACCGGGCGCCCCGCGCGCGGCCCGGGCGGCCTCGAGCCCCACGTCGAGAGACGAGGAGGAGGGGGGGGGAGGAGGAGGAGGAGGAGGGAGGAGGAGGAGGAGAGGAGGAGGAGAGGAGGGGAGGAGGAGGAGGAGGAGGGAGGGGGAGGGGGGAGGAGGAGGAGGAGGAGGAGGGAGGAGGAGGAGGAGGAGGAGGTGGAGGAGGGGGGAGGGGGAGAAACATGCCGCGGTTCTGTGGCGGCAAGGTGCAGGGGGGCCTCGTGGGCAGCGCCACCGCAGAAGACATTCGCCACCTGGCTCTGCCGTGCTAGTTTTCACCTCTTCGGCGGTGGAGGTGGGCGAACCGTCGCGTTTGGGCAAGCGCGCCGGCTAGGACGGCCCGCTCGGTGCCCGAGCGCGCGCGCCACGGCAAGTTCCCGACGGGGGTCATTGGCGTCAGCAGCGCAGGGCGCGCTGGCAGCTAGAGAGCCCAGGTGGGCGTGGCGATCTTCCTCGAGCATCGGGCGGATCAATTTCTGCACCGAGACCATCGCAGCAGGCCTGCGCGCTTCGACCTCGAAGCCTTTTTCTCCCGCACTTCTGCGCGTAGACTGGCTCCTCCACCTCCTCCTCCTCCTCCTCCTCTTCGTCCTCCTCCTCCTCGTCCTCCACCTCCTTCCCCCCTCCAACTTATGGTGGTGGTGGTGGAAAACAGGCCCACCACCATGCTCGCTGGCCGCACCGGCGGCCGCGACGCGCGGCGGCGGGAAGGGGGGCAGGGGCGCCGCTCCCTCCAGGCGCGGAGGACGCAGGGCGCACGCAGACGGCGCAGCTCGGGAGTGGCGGCGCACTGCGCGCGGCGATGGGGGGGCAGCGTGCTGCGACGCCTGGCGCACTCGCGGCGCGATCCAAGCCTTGCGAGGTGGCTTGGCAGGCGGGCCAAAACTGGCAGATGCGGCCCAGCGCAGTTCAGCGCGGCCGTCGCTGTGACTTTCGAATGGGACATCGAAGACCTGCCGAACCAATGCCTGGAAACACTCTCGGCGCTCCAGCGCGCTAAGGTTCATCTTGTGCACGCGGGAAGGTGAAAGAGACGCGCGCCCGACTCACAGGCGCTGCGCTGGCTCGCAAGACGACCGCCTGGTTGCCATCTTTGGCCGACAGCGTGAGGTCTACAGCGAAGGAGGCTACCTCGCGAGACTGACTGAGTGCGTGCGTGGACTTCCTCTGGCACGAAAAAAGGCCATCGATGCGAGACGTCGCGGCGCGAGTCGAGGTCCATGTGAGCCCCGCTCATGCCCCGCGCACTGCGAATGCGAGGTCAAACATCTTCAGCGTACACGCGCAAAGAACAATCGTCGGGGACCTGCTGACCCGGGTCAATCCAGACCCGGGTCAGTCATGCCTTGCAGAGTCCTGCAAAATCCTGCACCCAAACCCGGGTCAATGCGAAGGATCCTGCAGGATCCTGCAGGATCCTGCACCCAAACCCGGGTCAATGCGACCCTGGCCCTGCAGGATCCTGCAAGGTCGGGGCGCTCTGGCTGACCCCCGTTTGCACTGACCCCCGTCTCGAGGCTCCCGAAATCGTTCTCATCCTCGGCTTCCAGGGTGCTGGGCCCGACTGCGCGCGAGGCGACCGAGCCGAACCTGCCCTTTGGCATCCGCTGGTGCGAGCCACGGGCTGCCGTGGGAGCGCTGCATCTCCTGGGCGACGCCGGCGAGCTGCTCGGCCCGCCGTGCGGCGCGCGCGTGCCAAGAAGAGGGACCTCTTGCCGGAGCATGGGCGACTAAACATAGGGGGCGAACCAACCTACAGTACCTCGCTTTTGACCACCCTCGCCCCCAAGAGATACCGAGCGATGCCAAACGACGGCCTGTACCGCCAGGCCGCTCGACGAGGAGGCGCGTGGCATGACTCGGTTTCGCCTGAAAAAGCGAAAGCGGGGCAGGTCATTCACGCTCTGACAAAGGTCAAGCTCGAGAGAGGTAATGTGAGCGACAGCGTGCAACGTGCGAAGAGAGCCACGGCGTGCCAAAGACACACGCCGGCACGACGATGCGCCCAGCACTGGGCGCCCAGAGAGCCGGCCGCCTCCGCGGCAGCAGCCAACACTGTGTGATGCTGGCCTTCGGTCTGTTCGGAATGGGGGGGCCTCTCCTCCTGGATGCCAAGCACATCCAGGCTTCGCTCATAGAACTGCTGCTCAAGCAGCGCGACCTTGCGGCGCAAGCAGACCCCGCTGACGCGCGCAAATCAGCGAGACAGCTCTTGAGGAAACAGTGTTTGAATATTGGCCGTGGCGCGCGCGGAGTGCACAGGCACTGCATCAAGAGTATCACGTATCACTGGCCACGTCGCCCTCTGCTGTGTCTCCGTGGCGTCCCGAGAAAAAACGCAAGGAGCCAGCGGCCCTCTGCTTCTGGGTCCTCGTCTCGAAGGTAGTGACCACGTATTTAGCACGCTGCTTCCTATTCAAGCGGACTAACGTCGATGTTCTGCGTCTGCTCCAGGGTTGACTGGAAGCTCGCCAAAATGGCGTCGGATTGCGCCTTGGCCTCGTCCACCGCAGCTGAAGAAATCGAGCCAAGCGCCGCAAGCTGCTCGTCCGCCGCATGGAATGGCGCACCAAGCTCGTCGAGGGAGGTCCGGGGGGGATCGCTGTGCACTGGGATCTGTCCAGCGTGTGCGCTTCCTGCTGGAGCGTGGCATCTTCGGTTGTCGCCGCCTGCGCGGCGTGCTGTGCGAGCTGGATGCACTACTCTGCAGCCGACTGCCGGGCCCTGGCGCGCTCGAGGGCCGCCTTGGCCCCGTCGAGGCGCTTGCCGAGCGGCCGCATGTCGCCGAGTTCCTTGCGCTTCGTGTCGAGCTGAGCCTGAAGGTGCTGTCGTGCTTCTTCGAGCCCTGGCCCTTCCGGCGCTGCTGCCAGCGCGGCCTCAAGCTTCTTCACCGCGTCGACCAGCTGAGACCGATTCGCTGGGCTTGGCTCCGAAACAGCCCCAGTGCCACAAGGCGACGCCGTGGGAGGCGGAGGCGTCTGCGGCGGGGTCTCGCAGCTCGGGACTGCAGAGACGCCAGCTGCCTGTGACAGCTTCGCCGCAACCGCCTGGAGCTGTTCGGACACGTTGTTGGCAGGCGGCTTGGGCGCAGGCGGACCTATGACTGGACCGCCGACTTCGCAGCGTCCACCCACGACCTGCGCATGTCGCAGGTCCTGCACGCGTTCTTGGTGTCATCGCTGCTGCGGAGCCCTGCACACACCCACACCCCGGGAGTCGTGTTCGGGGGAGAGCAGTGGCCCACGTAGCGCCAGGCGCCCGACGGGTCCCGCTTCAACTCCGATGTGATAGGCGAGGTCGAAACGTGGGCGCCGCGAGAGCCCTTGCCGTTCTTGTCGCTTCATGACGCCATCGGACAGCTGTTGGCCAGAGACGTGACAGAGCGTGGCAGCCGTGAACGACCACGTACCGCCGTGCGGACGAGTTGATTGTTGAAAGAGTTGCTCGAACATTACTTGAACCAACGGCCACCGTGCCTTGAATATTACTTGAATTTATAAAACCCAGTATATATATATATGTATACCCGCCGCCTGTGGAACCGACGTCATGGGACCGCAACGGGCGGTGGATATGGATAGATTTGGGCCCAAGGGGTACGAATATGCCCATATGCACCGCCTGCCGAGGTCCCTGAAGATCGATCCCCCCGACGGTGGTTACGTATGAATCCCCGCCTCGGGACAGAGGGTCTCTGAAGCCGCCTGTCGGCTACACGCAAGAGTGACACTGGGTAAGAAAGACCCTTTGTGCGACGACTATGGGGGCGCAAGGTGGCCAAGTCCAAGCGCGTAGTCATCTGCTGTCGCTTCGCGCTCAGCGATTGGAGGGAACCCGATGGGCCTGCACTCAAGGCCATTCCAGCTAAGGGTCACTCTTCCCAAGGTGAGAGAGGGAACACACCCTGACACGAGTGAAGCAGTGTTTTCCGTTGTTGTTTTGTCTTCGTCTTCCCTCGCCCAAATGTTCGTTCCGCCTCTGGAAGAAAAAAACAAACTGCAGGCACATAAACTGTTGGCGCTCCGCGCGGATTTCTTGGATCTGCGCTGGACCCCGCGCCAGCGGCGGCGCCGGAGGCGCCGCTGGGGGGGGGCCCAGCGCGGATCCAAAAGCTCCGTGCGGAGCACCACAAATTTGTGCTTATGTGCCGTTTCCTTTTTTGCTCTTTCGTCCGGCCTTCGTTCCGCCTCTGCTGCGCAACGAGATCACAGCGGAAACGGCCCGCGAACTCGCCGCAGCAAAACTCCGCTGAGGGCGCCGGGCTCGGCGCCGGGCCTCCCCGCTGCGCCGCGCGAGGGTGCGCTCGCCTGGCCTCCGTCGTGGTCGGCGTCGTCGGCGTCGTCGTCGTGGTCGGCGTCGTCGTCGTCGTCGTCGGCGTCGTCGGCGTCGTCGTCGTCGTCGTCGTCGGCGTCGTCGGCGTCGTCGGCGTCGGCGTCGGCGTCGGCGTCGGCGTCGGCGTCGGCGTCGGCGTCGGCGGCGTCGGCGTCGGCGTCGTCGGCGTCGGCGTCGGCGTCGAACTCGTCGTCCAGCTTAGCTCGAGCCCTGGCCCACGCAGGCGGCCCGCCGCCCCCCGCGAGGAACGTGTTCGCAGCGGGCGGCGGGCGCGGGCCGCCAGGGCCTCCGCCACGATCACCAGCGGGCGCTGCACCTTGGCGACGTGCTCCAGCACGGGCAGGATGCTCTGCACCTGAGCGACGACCAGAAACGGGCCTCTTGCGCGACATGGCGCGGCGATCCTGCGCGGTGGCTTGCGCGGGCCGCCAGCGCGGCATGCTGCATGGGAGACAAAGGCGCTCACGCGCGACCGTGCACGGGCGGCTTATGCGCCAATGCCGGCGAAGACACCCCGTTCTTTTTTGAGTCGCTCACCTGGGGCCGCGGAGGCACACAGCGGAACACCGCGAGAACGGCCTGGAAAGTCCTTGGCACGAACAGCCTACACTGAAAACAGCAGCGCATGCAAGCTGCGCCCTCTAGGCGTAGGTCGCTTAACGAGCCGTCGAAACGCAGGTGCCATCGGGGGCGACGAAAAGGGGGGGCGGGAGAGAGGGGGAAGATTGATCAAAGAAGAAGGATTGACAATACTACGAATAATGATCAAAAATAATGATGCGACAAAGCTGCATGCACACACACACACACACTTTAGGTCCGTGCGGAGTCTTGGATCGGCGCTGGGCCCCCCTCCCTGGCGCCAGAGACCGCACTAGAGGTGCCGCCAAGAGGATCCAGCGCCGATCCACGAAGTCTGCGCGGATCTCCGAACACTTGTTTGATATGTTTCTAATGTCGTGTTCGGGGCCTTACGTTCCAGAGGTTTGTCAACAGCGGATCTCGGTTTTGAAGGAAGTCCCAACTCAACAGACTCTGTTACTCGACGGGTTGACGTTCTGATTTCCGGAGACTTCCACTACGCCACCGCTCAGATGGTGGCGCGCACCACCAAGTTTTGGAACCGGCAGCGACTGTCCTGGGAGCGCGGCCAGAAATTCGACGGCGAATCCTGGGTCCCCGCGGCCACCGCCTGAGATGGCACCACCATTACAGGTAAGCAGATGGAGTACAAGAGGACTAACTAAAGCCCCACAACGGCCCCGAGAGGGCCACGATGCAGACCCAACAGTTCGGCCACGGAATCCCATGAACACTCCGAACCTTGAGGCTCGCACATGCACAATCGAACAGTCGCACGAAAATCAAGTACGTACTGACCACCCCTTCCCCATCCCCCGAACAAAAACTCCACGCCACTAGCCTGATAGGGACAGGCATGCCAGCAACCCTCCATCATAAATGCGGCCACACGTGGGCGCAAATACGAGAAGCTGCCACGGCGTGCTATATCACCGCAGCCCCGAGGCGCGCTGCGCGCCCCTCAGCTCTGGTAGCACTTGCTGCTTGAAAGGCCCCGCGCTCCGCACTCCTGGACTGGTCGGGCGCTCTTGGAGCACTCTTGGGACCTGTCGCGCCGCCCGCCTCTTGGGCACGCTTGGGCACTCCCCCAGGCCTCCGAAGCGCACGCCGAAATCCAAACTTCCAACGTGCCTCAAGATGGACCCATGGGGCCGTCCCGCGCCGTTGGGCTGCCTCGCCTGCTTGCTCCACGGCAGCCTCCCAAAATTTCCTGATCAGGGCACCTCGCCGGGCCATCTTTCTAGATGGGACGGCAAGGGCACGCGCAATGTGCAACGTGACAAGCTCTGTATCTGCTGTGCTTTGGAGCGCCCGGTCGCGATGCCGCTCCGCGCCCACTGCCAGGTCGCCTCAACACAGGCTGGCCGCTCCTGCCACTCCTGCTGGAACTTTTTTCCCTACCTAGGCTCTGCCTAGAGGGTTCTTACTCTCTTAGCTTAAAGGGGCCGGGCAGTGCACCACGCCACGGGCGGTTCCCCCAGTCCCCGCCCCGCGGTTCCCCCAGTCCCCTGGGAGCTTTAGCTTTAGCTTTAGCTTAGCTTTAGCTTAGCTTTAGCTTAGCTTTAGCTTAGCGTTAGCTTAGCGTTATCTTAGTTTTAGCGTAGCGTTAGCTTAGCTTTAGCTTAGCTTTAGCTTAGCTTTAACTTAGATTTAGCTTAGCTTTAGCTTAGCCTTAGTTTAAATTTAGCTTAGCTTTAGCTTAGCTTCAGCTTAGCTTCAGCTTAGCTTTAGCTTAGCTTTAGCTTAGCTTTAGCTTACCTTCAGCTTAGCTTCAGCTCAGCTTCAGCTTAGCTTTAGCTTAGCTTTAGCTTAGCTTTAGCTTAGCTTTAGCTTGGCTTTAGCTTAGCTTTAGCTTAGCTTTAGCTTAGCTTCAGCTTAGCTTTAGCAAGCTTTAGCTAAGCTTTAGCTTAGCTTCAGCTTAGCTCCATCTTAGCTTTAGCATAGCTTTAGCTTAGATTTAGCTTAGCTTTAGCTGAACTTTAGCTCAGCTTCAGCTTAGCTTCAGCTTAGCTTCAGCATAGCTTTAGCTTAGCTTCAGCTTTAGCTTAGCTTCAGCTCAGCTTTATCTTAGCTTTAGCTTAGCTTTAACTTAGCTTTAGCTTGGCTTTAGCTTAGCTTTAGCTTAGCTTTAGCTTAGCTTTAGCTTAGCTTCAGCTTAGTGTTAACTTAGCTTTAGCTTAGCTTTAGCTTAACTTTAGCTCAGCTTTAGCTCAGCTTTATTTTAGCTCCAGCTTAGCTTCAGCTTAGCTTTAGCTTAGCGTTAGCTTAGCTTTAGCTTAGCTTTAACTTAGCTTTAGCTTAGCGTTAGCGTAGCTTTAGCTTAGCTTTAGCTTAGCTTTAGCTTAGCTTCACTGTTACTACTAATGCTGCTTTCCTAGGGGCTCCAACTCCTAGGTAGGGTCGCACTGGGATAATTCCGCGATGAAGGCCCCATTTCCCCCGACTGCATTCCGCGGTCGCCCTCTTCTTACTTCCCTCCCTTGCCGCCGGTTAGTTCGTACGCCACGCGCACCGGGCTACTAGAGCGCGCGAGCGGGTCGCCCCTGCCGCGTCAAGACGCGGAGATCCCCATATGTGCATCTCATAGTGATGGCATGCTCCGGTGGAAGGCATTGTCCTTTTCAATGTCTCAGTGTCAGCGAGTTCATGTGGAAGACGAAGCCGAAAGAGACACCGACGACTACGACTTTAACTAGTTGCTTCCTCCTTCTTTCCTCCTCATCCTCATCCTCCGCATGGTCCTCCTCCTCTTTCTCCTTGTTTTCCTATGAAAACCTACCAGGGCGCCGAAAACTGCTCCAAAACAGAAGCATGTTGAGCACCCAAACAGCAACCCGCCTGAGACGTCCCCCCAATCTGGGCGCGGAGAGGCCCGTGAGATACCCCCTGGCGGCCCCCCTTTGAGAGTGCTGAAACCAGCGCCTGGCCTGAGACATCTTTGGAAACTGCTCCGAAAGAGAAGGACGCTGAGCACACAAACCAGCAAACCGCCTGAGACATCCTCCCAATCTGGGCGCGAACGGGCCCGTGAGATACCCCCTGGCGGCCGCCCATGGGAGTGCTGCGCATCTTTGGAGAATGCTCCGAAAAAGACGTATGTTGAGCACCCAAACAAGCAAACCGCCTGAGACATCCCCCCAATCTGGGCGCGAACGGGCCCGTGAGATACCCCCTGGCGGCCCCCCTAGGGAGTGCTGAAGCCAGCGCAACTCCTGAGACATCTTTGGAAACTGCTCCGAAAGAGAAAAATGCTGAGCACCCAAACAGGCAAACTGCCTGAGACATCCTCCCAATCTGGGCGCGAATGGGACTGTGAGATACCCCCTGGCGGCCCCCCCTTTGCGAGTGCTGAAACCAGCGCCTCGCCTGAGTCATTCTCGGAATTTTCTCCGAAAGACAAGGATGTTGAGCACCCAAACCGGCAAACCGCCTGAGACATCTCCCCAATCTGGGCGCGAAGAGGCCCGTGAGATACCCCCTGGCGGCCCCCCGTTGGGAGTGCTGAAACCAGCGCCTGGCCTGAGACATCCTCGGAAACTGCTCCGAAACAGAAGGGTGCTGAGCACCCAAACAAGCAAACCGCCTGAGACATCCCCCTAATCTTGGCGCGAACGGGCCCGAGGGATACCCCCTGGCGGCCTGCCTTGGGATTGCTGAAATCAGCGCCTCGCCTGAGACATCCTCGGAAGCTGCCCCGAAAGAGAAGGATGCTGAGCACACAAACCAGCAAACCGCCTGAGACATTCCCCCAATCTGGGCGCGAACGGGCCCGTGAGATACCCCCTGGCGGCCCCCCTTGGGACTGCTGAAAACAGCGCCTCGCCTGAGACATCATCACAACTGTTGCTTGAGTCTGAGCGCGGAAGTGGTGTGGCTGAGTCTGAGCGAGGAAGGGCGAGTCAGAGTATGAATGAGTCTTATTGCGAGTGAGTCTGGGTGTGAGTGAGTCTGAGTATGAGTCTGAGTGAGTGTGAGTGTGAGTGTGTGTGTGACCTGAGTATGATTAACCTTAAGTGCGACTCGAAGTGCGAGCGAATATGTGTAATAGTGATCCCGAGCATGAGAAGCCTAAGTATCATGAATATCAGGGCGAGTGCATCTGAGTATGAGTGAGTCTGAATATGAGTGAGTCTACATGTGAGTGGGTCAGAGAATGATGACCCGAGGGTGGGAGGTGTGTTCTCGTTCTCCGCGCGGTCAAAGTAAGAACAAGAACCCCATCCTTGGGACATGGGGAACAACTGTGCTTGTGAGCGCGACTTGGGACAAGCTCCCACTGACGTCACTACAGTCGGGGCGTTGACCTAAGGAACCCTAAATAAGGAACGAGGCCCCTTGATCCCAAAAGTTAAGCTTCGATTTCCGATCGAAAACCTCAGGAAAACCCGAGCCACGCTGTAAAACAATCAAGGAACACCGAGCCCCTCCCCAACAAAAAAGGTTCCTTCTGCAGGGCCCCGGCTGTGGAGGTGCCGCGAGGAGCTCGGCCTCGGAGGCGGGGGCCTGAGGGCCGCTCGCGGGGCTCCGCGCGAGCCGTCCCGTCCCCGCGCGCCGCGGGCGCGCACTGCCACGGAGGTGGCGCGTGCCGCGGGCCTGTGGCGTCACCGAGCGGATGCGTCGTGCACGGCTTCGGGGTCACGAGGGCGCGAGGTGCGAACAGTGCGGTGCGACAGAGGTGGTGCAGTGCTCGCGTGGCGCAGCCCGTGTGGTGCCAGGCGTGTTGTGCTATTCGTGTGGTGAACACCGATGTGGTGCGGTGTATAAGATGCAAGCTGCGTGGTGCAAGCTATGTATCGTAGGCTGTGGTACATTATGCGAAGTGTAAGCTGTGTCGCGCAATCTGCGTGCTTTGCGATATATGTTGTGCAGACTTCGCGTTGCAAGTTATGTTGTTCAATCTGTGTGGCGCAAACTATGACATGCGACCTACGCGGTGTAAGCTATTCGATGTGAACTGGGAGGTGCACCCGACGCACGGGCCCACGATCAGCCACCAACCAGGCACCAAGCGAAACCCAAGGCGCCCACCCAACGCACCAAATGTCCACAAGGCGCCCACGACCGGCCACCAACTGTTAAACACGGACCGACCGTCCCGGCATTCCTATAGGCCTACCACGAAATATTCTTAGAACCCAAAAAGTGTTCTAAGAGCAAAAAATAATTTTCTTTGAACATCAACCCGATGCATCGAAACACGCCAGTCCCAACCAGAAATGTTCTGAGAACATTCCGCGGAAACCAATGGAAGTTCTTAGAACATTGTTTGGTAGGCCTATAGGCACGCCAGGACGCTCCGTCACTGCTTGAAACTGGGCGCCGGGCAAAATCGGGGCGGACCCACCCTCAGACCCCAGACGTCATGATTTTATCATGACGTCGACCCCCAGCGGTCTGGACCCCTTCCCCGGGACCGGTTCTTCATCCTGAGCAGTTTTCGGACGGTCCCGAGGCCCAGCGAGGGCCCCTGGAGGCCGAAAACTGCGAAAAACCCACGTCCTGATTTTTTTCACTGCGCTGGATGTCGGCATGGGCCCAACGCACACGGCGCCAGCGGGGCGCCCACGACCGGCCACCCACGCGGGCACCGGGCATAAACCTCCGGCGGGCACGCCGAGAGCGCACGGGGCGCCCGCGAGGCGCCCACGCCTGGCCAGCAGCTGGCTGTCGCGGGTTCGGGTCGTGTCGACCCCAGCGTTATGTTGCTCCCATCGCACGTAAGGACCACATCCCAGAAATGAGTTCGAGCACCAAGGAAAATGTCGCAAGAGTGCCGAAAGAGTGCCGCAAGTGTATCGGACGAGTGTCTCGCAGGGCCCGCGACACGTGGAAACCCTGGAGTTTGGGGATACATTTCTGGTGCTCGAAATTCTTTCTGGTGGTCAAGGCTAAAGTAGGTTGACACATTATAACCCCAGCGTTGGTTCTTGACACCGCGGGGATCGTTCAACCTTGAACGATCGGCCGTTTCCCAAAAGCCCGATCGTTCAACATCGACCGATTCTGGGTCGCCGGCGGCGTTCAACGCTGAACGCCAGCGGCGGGGTCGCCGCTGGTCGACACGACGCACACCTACCGTACCACCCGAAACCCACGTGGACCCACCCAGCGAACAGGACACCCACGAGGCGCCCACGACGGGCCAGCAAGCGGTTCCCAGGCGGAAATCCTGGCGGATCAAGGCAAGCACGAAGCCCTGCGTACAGAAGTGCAGCCAGTGTTTGGGGAGCGAAGCCGTGATCGTGTGGGGGCACCAAAGCCCCCGTGGCGCGTCTCCCCGGCATCCTCCGAACTCTTCACGACAAGCCCGAAGCTGGTACGGAAGTGGTGCAATACCTGCCCGAAGATCGCCCCCCGACAGCCCAAAACGACGGTATAGCAACCCCCGACAGGGCCCTACTAGGTGGCAACGTTCGAAAACATTTGACGGATCGCTTCCGCGGGAGACGGCTCAGGCTTCTCCGCAAACTCGGGGACCCCGCCGAAGGCCTCAGCAGGGTCGAAACCGACTTGATCGAAGCCCGCTGATCCCTCTGAGATCTAGCATGCCGACTCCGCGGCACGCGGGCAGGATGCATGCGCATGTACCAAGACAGAAGATGCCCAGACCGTCGACGTTGTGTGTGTTTCATTTCACACAGCGTTGACCCATGGAGATCTGGACCTCTTCTTGGGGGCTGCTTTATCAGCCCGAGTCGGTTTTTGACGGTCCCAAGGCCTGGCGAGGGCTCCCGAAGGCAGAACATGTCACAACACCGCTAAATCGTGCCTTTTCTCGAGGCGATGAAGTGGGTGAGCCGGGGGGGGATGCAGCCGCAGGCGCATCAGCTGCGACGGCGTTGGCACGATAGCAGCGGCAACAGCGACTGAGCTGGAGGGGAGCCCCGCACCGAAGATATCTTCTTGTCGAAGAGTAGGATGAGCGGATCTGTAAAGACACACTTCTGCGCCTTGGTGTCGGTGACAAAGTATGGGGAGATGTACCTTTGTGGCGGGCGGGCCAGACTCACTGCTTCCGTCTCGTCCTCATGTCATTTCGGGGATCCACTGACCCGGGTCAATCCAGACTCGGGTCAATCGGACCTTGCAAGATCCTGCAAGGTCCGAACACCCTAATCCGGGTCAGTGCACTCGTGGTCCTGCAAGATCCTGCAAGATCTGGCGCTCTGACTGACCCCCGTTTGCATTGACCCCCTTTTCTGGATCCCCGATCACGCAAGAGCGACCCTGGGTAAAAGAGAGACCTTTGGTGCGCGGTTTTTGGGGGGCCGCGGGGGGGGGGCCAAACACAAGCGC